GGATCAATATCCGGTGGGTGCGTCCAGGAGGTGAAGGTGACAATTTCGTTGCTGTCGGCGGTGCCTAGATCCAGAACGAAGTTGAGAACAAACACATTGTTATTCAGTACATCCTTGCCGATATAGAGGCCTCCTCTTCCGTGGTACAGCTTGAACTCCTGTGTGTCAGTAGAGCTACACTGTGAGATCCCCGATCGATCCTAGGGGGGGTTATAGGCGCGTTTGCCCGAGGGGTTATGGGCGCACTGACCCGCTACTGAAACAAGCCCTTTTATCCCAATAGTCCAGTGGTTGGGATTTTGACATGGTATCAGAGCGGTCTCGGGTTCGATTCCTGGTGTATGCACATGTAGGCCGTTGCCGCTGTGCTTAGTCGTGGGCCTCCCAGTGTGGGGGGGGTGTCAGTAGATCTGCACTGTTGATGCCCGATTTATCCTGTAGAGGGTTACAGGCGCGTTCGCCTGGGGGGTTATAGGCGCACTGACCCGCTACTTAAACAAGCCATTTTATCCCAATGGTCTAGTGGTTGGGATTCTGACACTGTGTTGTGCTGTCTGCTTCGAGGTGGATGCCTTTCGCCATCAGCTGACTAACACTCAGTAAGTTGTAGCCGAGTCCCTCCGCGATTAACACCTTTGACATCTCCAATATGACGTTGTCTCTCGTGACTGAAGTTGCACCACGCTTTGTCGTCGTGTGCGCAAGTTCTGGTTGTTGGCGACGGTGATGACGACTTCGCTTTGAAGTTGGTGTTCGCGTTGAACGAAGCGACCTGAAGAGCACATGTGTTGTCCGCAGCAGCTGTCCAAGAACCAGGTATCTTTCCCGGACGGCTCGCTTTGGGCGATGGCTTGCGTATGTTGGGTTCGGTTGCAGTGACTCGCGACGTCGAGTCCTTTCGTCGAATTGTTCTTCTGGTGAGTAGTGCGGCGGCGACTCGGTGATGCAGGAGTCGGTCAATCTTGCCATGCAGCTGACGATGTTCCTTGTTCCTTGTGCAGGTTGTCCCGTCGACGTTGTTGACGTTTGCACTTGAGTGGTGGGATTTGCTTGCGTTGAGGCGACTTGACTGCTTGAATGTCGAAGCTGCCGTTGCGTTGGTGATGACTGCTGCCGGTTAGGGCAGTGTGTGCGGGGATGACCTGACGTATTGCAAAGATGACAGAACGGAGGTACAGGTTTTGGTTGATGCCGGTTGTTGTTGTTGTTGTAGCGCCGTTGAGTGTGAAATGCAAATTCAGGTACTGAGGTTTTCCTCTTGTGTCGCTCCTCTTGCTGGTCCATGTCTTGCTGTTCAGCGTGAATTTCGGCGCATACTGCTGCTTCGGAGATCTTCCCGTGAGCTCGGAGTATGGCGCGAGTGGAGCGCCAATGAGGACCAAGACCGCCAATGACGACTGTGACGAAGGCGTCTTCTGATATCGATCCTCCGCATCGAAGGAGTTTGTCGCGCAATTTGCGACAGCGGCTGATATACGCCATCCCTTTTTCGCCCAGTTTCATTTCCACTGTTGTCAGTTGTGCCATTTACCGACTCTGATTGACGCTCTCTGTTGCCTGATACAGGTTCTTCAGGTGGTTGTACGCGAGCTCGGCGGAGTTCCCGTATCCTCGGTAAGACCGAATGTTCTGCTGCTGGTTCGGTGTGACGTTGCGTAGTAGGATTGTAAACGCCATCATGGACTGATATGTATACTGCTTGTCGTATTGCGTCCCGTGTGTTGGGTATGGCAGGGACCCGTCGAAGAAGCCAAGAATCTGCGCGCCTTCCATCATCAACTCGAATTCGAATGACCAGGTAAAGAAGTCATTTCCATCGAACGGTCTTGACGTCTGCAGTTTTAAGACGTGTGCAAACTGCGACTGAACTTGAAGTGCATCTAATGTCTTCTCTTGCTCAGGTGAAGGCTGCTGGCGCGGCATGAAGCTGACGGAACAACGCTGAGGTTCGTACGGGGCGAAGGTAGGTTGTTGCTGATTTCTTCGTGCATAGGATGAACCGTCGAGGCTCATCGGTGTTGCGTTGTTGTTGTTGCTGTTGTTTGACTGCGCAGGTGCCCCTTGCTGGTGTTGTTCGTAGAAGGACACGAAGGAGAAGAATTTCTCCATCATGTCTGGGTCGAAGGCCGCGGCTTGATTTGCAGGAGTTTCGGTAGACCCAGCTGCCGGTCTTGTTGCTATGCCCTCCTGTGTCTGTAGGCCAGAGGCAGGAGGCGGAGTAGGAGTAGTGCCGGGAGAGCCGTTAGAGGAGCTTCTCTCCTTCTGCGTTGCCATTGCCTTGTGATGTTGTAGGTGTCTTGATTGTAGTTGAATTTGTCATGATAGCTCTCATACCATGTTGGGCTGAGAAAAGCCCTTAGGATCTTTGCAGGACTAAATTTCTGAGAAGGACAATGTAATAGCGGAAGCGTTTAATGAAAGGTTTGTGAACCACCTTGCGCTGGTATGTGAGGGCAAAGTAGATTGATTAAGACAAAGAAATACAAGCTTTAATATGAGTACAAGGAAATATGAAGGGTTATAACTAATAACTATTTTGCTTTGCTGTTGCGGTTCGATACAGTGACGACTCGGGCAACTGCTCAATAGCGAGTCAGTTGTTTGTCCTTGCTGTCGCACTATACTTGTCAGGTCAAAGGTCGCTGACCTTTGACTTTCGCGTAACCTCCAGCAGTTGTTCAACCTCCGAGGGTTGACTCGCCAATGCTTTGATATGTTTCGCTTCGCTTTTGACTTGGTGTTTTGACACGAGAGAGGCGCTAAATCAATTGTTTCTAACAATACCAAAATCTTGTTCACAATTTTTATGTACAAATATTTAGCTAGCTACCCGAAATCGTCGATCTCGTCGTTGTAAGTTGCGATCGCCAAACCAAACTGGCGACTGGTTCCGATTTTCGACGACGCAGAAATGTGCAATGTTGCACAAAACTCGAGTGTAATTTTGGTCGCAAATTCAGAAACGTCGCACTCCAGCCATGCGATATAAATACTGGGGAGAAAGTAATTTTGCCAACCATGTTCGTTGAAGCTCGCTAACTCCCGAAGCGGATGACCCGAAGCTCGGCTAGGCAAAATCGCGCATCGTAAAATTAATTCGGCATGTCCCAAAGCCGGGATGTCCCAAAGCCAGGAATTCGCCCTCAGAGTTTGATTTGGAAATACTGTACACAAATAGTGTACCAGCGACGCAAACGCAGACATGCTATGGACCTTCTGCCCGTGTTTGTCATACTGTACCGCTTTATGGGCAGCGTTTAGATATCAAGCAAGAAACGGTGGGGATGGGAATAGACAAAAGTTGGGGCGGCTGAAAGGGATTAGAAGTTGCGAACCATCGCAGGTCAAGAAATTCTTATGCTCTTGCTAGATATGGTTGGGTGGATGTTTACATAGTGCTGTCAGGTTTCAGAATATACGCAGGTGATTTTCACACCCAACCTCCAAGGTCAAGAATTATGGTAGTGTAAATCACATCAGCATCCACTTTAGCTTGCTTCGAACTTCAAACCAAAAAGTAATGTTGGGTAACAGCGGAGTTGACACATATTCCGTTGGTAAAAGAAACATTTTGGACCCGAAACCTTCATGTGCTGTGTGCTCACCTCGGACCTTGTCGTTCTTGACCAACAGGCGTCTTGACACGGCAGCCTGTCTCGGCTGGTGTCGATCTGTGCAGCATCTTGCTTTGCTGCTGGTCATCTGGGCCCTGTTCGGCAGGCATAAAAAAATGGGCCTCGGGGGATGGGCTACAGTGAACCGACCACCCTGGAACCTTCTACAAGAGCGTGAAAGGTTATCAAGGCTCGATGTAAGCGGATCTACACCGAACCGGACAATAGCGGATTACCAGCCTAACGTCCCTTTTTTCGTTGGCCTTTTCAAACCCATTATTTTTTATCGAGCCATTCTCTCTGGCAAAGTGCCCATTTTCTGATCCGCCGCACCATGCGGCCTCGAGGTCCCGCACCATGCGGAGTATCAGTGATTCGGGGCAATCAAAAGTGACTGCCAGCCAATCACATGATCACGCGATCCATCTGGGCAAGTGCCGTCTCGCTTCTGCGAAAATAATTTGTAGATTGATGCCATCAATCTAGACCCAATTAATGGCAACCGAACACCCAAACCTTTTTTCGAAGGTGCACTGCAGCTACAGTCCGATCTCGAAGTTGTTTCTAGAAATGCCCAGGCGCCATTTTTGGGGCCCGTTAAAAATGCCCATAATGCCATCCGAACTGGGCCCTGGGGTGGTTTTGGATGAAGAATGGGATGGGAGAATGTGAGGCAGGGGATGGATGGAGCAGTTAGCTGATCGTTCGTTTTCGTACAGTACCCAAGCAAACCCAAACAACCGCGTTAAAAACAAAACCACCTCGTTGACTCGGCAACATTACCTTGGTGCATGGATGTGCAAGCACAGACCCAAGCTGTTGGCGACTAGAAAATTGTGTTGTGGCTGGTTTGGGGAGGTGAGCGAGCAGTACAGAGCGGGGCACACACTTCTATTCCCTCCCTTGTTTTCAAGGTCCCCTCCACCTCGTCTCTCTGTACCTCGAATTGCTGAGTTAGCTGCCCTTGTAGGTGCCAATGAGAAGCAAGAAAGTTATCCCGTACTACTGCCATTAGCGAGTGTCGTGGTGCTTAGTGTTCATGCCTTGTCTTAACGTCGTCCTCTTTTCCGTCTATTCATGGCGTCACCACAGGTAAACACTGCAGGCGCACACAGCCGAAGCCCGCACACTAGAAACCACCACTCTCCACACCCGCCGCACCCATCTGCACCGTTCCCTTCTGCCCTGACTTGCTCCACCACGTCGCCAACCAATCACCATCATCTTCGCGGCATGCTGACTCAGCAGCAGCTCGTGTCGCTCCTTCAGCAAGCCACGGACTCCGACGCGTTTCCCCCCTCTTTCCGCCGATACCCGCTTTCCTACCTTCGCGCGCAGGGAATCTCAGTCCCAGGTGACTTTTTCTGCCCACTATCCCTCGACATAATGACCGACCCCGTTATAATCGCATCCGGTCAAACGTTCGAGCGCGCGGAGATCGAGCGGTGGTTTGGCGAGGGGAAGCGCGTGTGCCCTGTCTCCGGGCAGCACCTCGAAAATCTCACCGTCGTGCCGAACAACTCCCTCCGCAGCGTCATCTCCGCGTGGTGCCTCGGCAACGGCATCAGGCTCGGCGCGGAGGATCGCACCAACCCTACCGCAGGCCAGCTCGCCGAGCCGAAACGCCGAGCCTCGTTCCACGCCGGCCCGTCGACATCCTCTCCTTCGAGATCGTTTTCGAGCAATGCCGGCCGCGAAGCCCGCCGGCAGTCCAGCGGCTCGTACGAGCAGAGCCCCTCCCCGTCGCCCCGGTGCCCTATTTGGCCCGTGTCGGCCTCGGTATCCTCGCAGTCTCCCTCCGCATCTCCCGCGTACACGTCTGCTAAGAGCACCGGCAGTCCCGGCATGCGGCGCGACTGGAATCAATATCCCGGGAGGGACGAGTGGAGCGGCCCGCAGCCGCGCCGCGACGAGTGGTCGGGGCCGCAGTCGGTCGAGTTTGCGATGCAATCCGGCATAGCGTCGCAGGCGGCCGTCCCGTCGCAGGCGGCCGTCCCGTCGCAGGCGGCCGTCCCGTCGCAGGCGGCCGTCCCGTCGCAGGCGGAAATGTCGCACGGTCACGGCGCTGGCTCTCCGGCGCCGCAGGAGAGAGACAGTGGCGGCGGCGGTGGCAGACTGCCGAATCGCATGCGACACTCCCTAGGCTCGCAGTCTATGCGCTACGATTATCCCGAGCACGCGTCGCGGTCGCCGCAGTCGCATTCCCTAATCTCCTGGGATCACGACGGGGATCAATCGGACCGGCATCATCAACCAGGAATGAATCCCGCTCTAGCGTACATGACGCCAAACCATCCCGTAGCGTCCGTCTACGTCACTAACGCGGCCGGCAGCCCGTCCGTTAGCCGGTTCTCCTCGCGCGACATGTACCTCACGTTCGCGCGCTCGTCCACCTGCGACTCGAGCTCCAACAGCCGGTCGTTACTCTTAGGCCGGGAGCACGGCACCGCGCCGCCGGAGCGTGAGGGCGCCCCGAGCGAGGGCGGCGCGGGCGAGCGCATGCTGACTCGCGGCGGAAACCTCGCGGCCGGGCGGAGCCAGAGTCAGAAGGAGCGCGCGCCGGGCGGAAGCAGAGCGGGGATGGTGCGGACGGAAGAGGAGGAGCACGCGCGGCTGCGCATTCCGGAGCTCGTGCGCCAGATGCAGGGCGTGGGCGCGGGGCGGGGATCGGGGGGCGGCGAGACGCTGCTGGTGCGCGAGCGGCAGCAGGAGGCGGCGGAGGAGCTGCGGATGATGGTGAAGGATTCGCGCGCGAACCGGGAGAGCGTCGTCGCGGCGGGCGGCGGCGTGCTCTCTGCGCTGATTAATCTCTTCTGGAGCGAGGACGAGGTGACCGTGGAGCACGCGGTCACTGCGACTCTAAATCTCTCGTTGACGTCGTCGTCGCACGCGCCGCTGATTGGCCAGGGCGTCGTGCCCGCCCTCGTCGCGGTGCTCTCGGGCGGCGCCGCCGCGTCGTGCTGCTCGTCGCCCGTCTCGTCGCCGAGCGTCGCAGGGTCCAGGGCGGGGCAGCGCCAGTGGGGGGAGAGTTTCACCGCAGCAGGCGCGGCAGGCGGAAACGAATTGGGTGCGGTGAAACTGGCGGTTTCGCAACAGGCGCAAGAGAACGCAGCAGCAGCGCTTTTCGCCATAACGTCTTCGTCAGATGCGAATAAGTTACTCGTTGGATCGACGCCAGGAGCCATCGCAGGGTTGACGGCGATGCTTTCGCCGCAGCCGTGGTCGCTTCGCGGACGAAAAGACGCGGCTTTGGCATTGTTTAACTTATCCCTATCGGAGAAAAACCGTGCTTCGCTAATGTCCGCGGGTGTAGTTCCGAAGTTACTTTCCATGTTACAAGAATACGGCTCGGGATTGGAGGAGAAAGCCACGGCGGTTCTCGTGAATATCGCGAAAACTCCCGCGGGTTGCGCGGCGATTCAGTTGGCGGGGGGGATTGCGCCGCTGGTTGAAGCGCTGGAAAGCGGATCCGCGCGCGGAAAGGAGGATGCGGTTGCGGCGCTGCTGATGCTGGCGGAAGACGAGAGCCGGCGGGACGAGATTCTCGAGGAGGGGGTGATGCCCACGCTGGTTGCGCTGCAACAGTCCGGCACTCCGCGCTCGCGCGTCAAGGTGAGAATTCTCCGCATCCGCGCTATAAGCTCAGTCTTCTCTGGAGAATATCAAGGCAGAAGAAATATATGGTGCCCTTACGCAGAATGGATGTATGCCTGACAAGCGGACTAATCTTCCATTCTGCAATCCCCTGGGTGGAGTCAAGGCAACAATGCTGAGAATTCACCTCGTGCCCAAGAATGTAGGGGCTCGCTGTGAGAAGGTCGTCTCCTGTCCTGAGGGAATGATGCTGGTATAGTTTTCCTCCATGGTAAACCTCAAATGTAAATGCTGCCCACCACAACTAGTCACATCCATTTGCAACTTTTAAGCGTGAGTGCTAAGTTACCGTGGACGCATTCAGGTTCCTGGACTACTGGTCCTGTAAAAGGAATTACGACCTGCGAGCAGGTAGGAAATTTTGGTAGTTGGTAATTTTTTCAATGAATGCAGTACCCTTGTCTGAGTCGCTCGTATGCCTGTGAACCCTTCTGTATTTCCTGAACGCCTTCGGTTTCTGGTTGTCCTTAGGGATCAGCTGGCATCAGAGCAGCACTGAGATCTTGTGGGAATGGGTGGTCTGAGTGTCCGTGGGAAGGGTGTGGAACGATATAAGAGAGTAGGGAAACCAGTGGTGGCGGGGAGAATTCAGTGGGTACGTGTTACGGTATACGAGGATTGATGGTGTTCAAGGTGAGGAGTGTGTTGTGACACCTGTAGGAGGGATTCACAGGGCCAGTCTTAAGAGATCGCACTTCCTGGCGTTGTCTCGAATGAGATGGACCTGTTTTCCAAACCAGGGGACGGTTTGGGAGCTGTATGCTGGGATATTAGAGATACAGGGAGGAGCATGAGCAGGAGTGCAGGGAGAAATGCAAAGGGGAGTACATGATATCAGTACCATGTCTGCAGTGCTTCCTCACCCTGATTTGGTTGCTGTTGTGATGTTTATTCTTCTCGCCCTGAAGGTTCCTGCTGTTTCCACACTCCTGCCATTGATGATACCAGTTCTTTTCTGCTCCTTTTGTAAGAAGACTTTTCCGGCATGCCCATAGTGGATCCCCAACCCCGTCCTCCCCCTCACCCACCCCGTTCACTTCACTCTCGCTACTCTCATTCAATAAAGGTTCCCATTCAACTAAACACGTTCTCCCCCCTTCCTCTCCACCGCCCCTTCCCCGTGTTCTGCCGCATCTGCTTTCAGGCTGCTCGTCTGCTGGCAATCTTCCGGTCCAAGAAATGATTGATTTTTTACATGCTCATGCGGTGCAGTTGAGTGTGACTCTGGCTCAGTGGAGCCCAGAAATGTGTGAATATGTTTTTTGTGCACGAGGTTACAACCAAGACAGGCAGGGATGGCAGAAAAAACCCCAATTCACTTTCCTGAAGGCCTGGGAGGTCTATGTACTGAACTGGCCTCTGTGTGTGCATTGAACTGGGTTTTCGTAGTTTGTCTCTGCAAAAAGGGCTGTACTATAAGGTGTAGCAGCTGGATTCACACACTTTTGGACCACTTCCAATAAATTATGGGCATTTATCTTAGCGGTAACACTCATGGAGCTCAATCGCACCCGAGGTAAGCCACGTTGTTATGAGTTGTAAAAGAGAGTGCGCAGATAAACGAATAACGAAGCTGTGACTGAATCAACTGCGAATGCAATGAATGCACAGACTAATGTAGGACTACGGTACTCTAGCTAAGAGGAAACCTCGGACGAGCGAGGTTGGGTGCAGGTTTGGCGATGGGAAAGCCGAAGGCGACGTGAGGAGCCTCGGCAGCGTTGAAATCGGCTGAACGTGCGAACTCCGAAAATCGGGTTGTACGCGAAGCAGTCAACCCCGATAAGGAATTCGGGAAAATTCCTTACACCACCCCCCCCCCCCCCCCCCCCCCCCCCCTTAAGAAAGGTAGTCAATAGCCGAAACACGCCGTCGCGCCAGATAATCACCAACAAGCGTCGAGGCGTCCAGTGAAGCGGATGGCACCCACGTGTCGTCCTCACTGGTGCGGTCGGTCGAGCGAATTAAGAAATCCACGTGGCGTCCAGCGGCGTCAAGGCGGACCCGATGAGCGAGAATCTTGGAAGGGTCAAGGGTTGGCTCCGGGACGGGGCGAGCTGTCGGGGCCGCTGGCTGACGTGCGATGTCGGTCGTGGTAGGCACGAACTTCCGAAGAAGGCTGATGTGGAACGCGTCATGTATATGCCAATCGTCGGGTAGCAACAGCTTCGCGGTGACAGGTGTCACCATCTTGAGAATTTTGAACGGTCCGCAAAATCGTGGCCGAAGTTTCGCAGGGCCGGGCAGGTTCAGGTTTTTCGTGTCGAGGAGGACTAGTTGCCCAGTAGTCAAGACGAGTTCCCGGCGAAGAAGGTTGGTGTATTTGCGGGAAGTAATATTCGCTTTGCGAATTGCGTCGGCGGCTTTTTTGCGGACTTCCTGGAGTTCCGTCACGAAAGTCTGGGAACGTGGGACCGGATTGGCGAGTGTAGTTGTCGTCGGAACCGCCGGGTCCATCCCATAATTCAGGAAAAATGGGGAGTGATTAGTCGTGCTGGATGGTGCGTTGTTGAAAGCGAATTCCAGCATTGCGAGCGAGTCTTCCCAGCGGGCAGGATCGGGGCAGTTTGCCCTGATTAACTGCTCCATGGTCTGGTTGGTCCGCTCTGTTTGACCGTCGGTCTGCGGGTGCTAAGCCGATGAGAACTGTAGCTTCGTGCCGTATTGCGCCCATGTCTCCTTCCAGAATTTGGATGTGAATTTTGGGTCGCGGTCGCTGATGATCGCTGAAGGGATGCCGTGCAGTCGCACGACCGTCGATATGAAAAGTCGCGCAGTTTCTTCGGTTGTGATTGTCGTTCGGCATGGTGGGAAGTGCGCCATTTTCGTGAAGCGGTCGACGACGACGAGAACACCGTCGTTGCCTGTCGGCCCAGCTGGCATCCCCGTGACAAAATCCATCGTCACTTGTTGCCACGGTCGTTCGGGTGGCTCGAGGGGTTGCAGCAATCCAGCTGGTCGCTGACGTGTCGACTTCATTGCTTGGCACACCCTGCATGAGGATACATAGCGCTGCACGTCGTTAGAGGAATCAGGCCAGTAATAGTGACGGTGCAGTAGTTTCTGTGTCTTATCGACCCCGAAATGTCCGGAGAGGTTTGAATCGTGTATCTCCTGGATGAGGAGCTCACGCAGCAGACGGTAAGTGGGAACCCAAATCCGGTCGGTTCCGGCTTTTAGGTAATAGTCCCCTTTCTGCGTCGTAGCCTGCTGATGGTTTCCCGTTGTGAAGAAGGGGTCTGACGTGTAGCCGTGGGTGAATAGTCCGGTAAGTAGCGGGTTCGAGTGGGTGATGAGTACTGCAGCGGATTGTACTGTCGGTCGGGTCAGGGCGTCGGCGATGTTATTAGCCCCTTTTTTGTACGTGATGCGGTAGGTGAAATGGCTCTCCATGTAGTCGAGCCATCGAATCTGTCGTGGGTTGAGGTTGGGTTGGGCTCGCAGGTACTGTAGGGATTTGTGGTCCGTGCGAACAGTGACGTCGGCGCCCACCAGGTAGCATCGCCATAGTTTAAATGTGTGTATGATGGCGAGCATCTCATTGTCGTGGATCGGGTAGTTGCCTTCGGCTGCCTGCAGCTTGCCTGATTCGTAGGCTATCGGTTGCAACCCGTTCCCGAAATCTTGGAGGAGCACAGCTCCGATGGCGAAATCTGAGGCGTCGGTTACAACTTCGAACTGTCAGAACATTATAGCTTATGCTTTTGTGTAGGCTGTAGTGGGGTATCCCATAGGGGGTACAACCCAATTAGGGTTAGTACTTGTACCCACTTCATTCATAGTTCATTCTCGTTCTATTGTGACATGGTATAGAGCAGGTTCCCCTGTGGGAACTGTGCTTAGGGCCCACCACTTCGAACTTTTTTTTCCTGCCCAGAGCGCGCTCCGGGCTCTCTCTCTCTCGATCTGTCGACCTACCCTACGGCCCCTCAGACGCCCGCGCGCCGCCCCTCCCGGCCCTTCGACGCCCGCGCGCCGCCCTTAGCCGCCCGCGCGCCGCCAGTTTCGGCCCCTAGACGCCCGCGCGCCGCCCGTCCAAGCCCCACGCCGCCCGCGCGCCGCCCTTAGCCGCCCGCGCGCCGCCCGTCAGGCCCTGAGCCGCCGTCGCGCCACCCTTAGGCGCTCGTGCGGCGCCCGTCCCGGCCCGTCGGCGCCGTGTGCCGCCCGTCCCGGCCTCACGCCACCCGTGCGCCGCCCGTCAGGCCCCACGCCGCCGTCGCACCGCCCGTTCTGGCCCGTCGACGCCGTGCGCCGCCCGTCCCAGCCTCACGCCACCCGTGCGCCGCCCATCCCAGCCGCGCACAGCCGTCCCGGCCCCTCGGTGCCCGTGCGTCGCTCGTCCCGGCCCCGCTCCCAGCCGCCCGTGCGCCACCCGTCCCTGCCGTGCGCCGCCGTCCTGGCCCCGCCCCGCCCGTGCGCCACCTGTCCCTGCCGCATGCCGCCATCCTGGCCCCACGCCGCCCGTACGCCACTGTGACACCCAACCGCCCGTGCCACACACGTCCCCGAGCCACCCGAACCGCCTGCGCCGCTGAGGAGCCGAGCCGCACGAGCCGCCTGTGCCGCTGATTGCCCGAGCCGTCTGAGCCACCCGAGCCGCCCGAGCCGCCCGAGCCGCCCGAGCCGCCCGAGCCGCCTGCGCCGCTGAGGAGCCGAGCCGCACGAGCCGCCTGTGCCGCTGAGTGCCCGAGCCGCCCGAGCCGCCCGAGCCGCCCGAGCCGCCCGAGCCGCCCGAGCCGCCCGAGCCGCCCGAGCCGCCTGCTCCGCCCGAACCGCCCGAGTCGCCTGAGGAGCCGAGCCGCCGGTCCCGCGGAGCTGCTGTTGCTGCTGGGCCGACCGAGCTGCTGTGTTGCCGTGTTGCTGTGCTGCTGAGCTGCCCGACCCGTCCTGTCTGGTGAGACCGTCGACTGCTGTCATGGCTACCCCCAGTGTCCTTGCTTTTGACGCTGAGGGCCGCGCCATTGACTTTGAGGTCTAGGTCGACGACCTGCAGCTGTTCTTGCAGTGCGATAGGGTAGACGACCTTTCTCTCTTTGACCTTACCTCTGGCGCCGTCCCTGCCCCTGCTGCTGATGCTGACCCCACTGTTCGCTCCAAGTGGGCCACACGCGATGCTGCTGCACGTCTTGCTGTGCGTCGCCACCTGCCTACCGCTGAGCGTGCACACTTTAGTCAGTACAAGAGTGCCCAGACCTTGTACGACGCTGTAGTTGCGTGCTACTCCTCTCCTGCCACTGCTGCACTGAGCCGCCTCATGCTCCCCTTCCTCTTCCCTGACCTTGCCGCCTTTCCCACTGTCGCTGATCTCATTACGCACCTCCGCACTAGTGACACCCGCTACCGCGCTGCGCTTCCTGCTGACTTCTGCGCCAAGAACCCTCCCCCCATGTACATCACTCTCTAATTTCTAGTCACTCGTCTCCCTGACTCCCTTCGTGTAGTCCGGGACCACTTCCTCGCGGTCTGTCCCACCACTCTCACAGTCGACAGCCTCGAGAAGGCCCTCCTAGCGGCGAAGAAGAGCATCGTCGCTGTAGGAGCCTCTCGAGGTGACCCCCGCGCCCCCATCTTTGAGGGGTGTTCGCCTTCCCCTCTCCTGCCCTCTGTAGCCTCTGCCGCTGCGGCCGACCTCGTTGGTCTTGAGTCGGTCGGTGCGGCGTCTGCCCCAAGTGGGAGACGCCGCTCAGGCAAGGGCAAGGGGGGCAAGGGAGCGGGTGGGACCAGCGGGGGCGGTGGAGGTGGAGGCGGCGGAGGGAGTGGGGGTGGCGGTGGAGGTGGTGGCGGGGGTGGGGGTGCTAGTGGCGGCAGTGGAGGCGGAGGTGGCGGCGGCGGTGGCGGTGGGAGCGGAGGTGGCGGAGGCGGTGGCGGTGGAGGAGGAGGCGGGGGTGGCGGTGGTGGAGGTGGTCGGAGTGGCGCTTCGCAGCGGAGCAGCACTGGAGGTGGTCAGCGCCAGCAGCAGCAGCAGCAGCAGCGTTCTCGCGACGTCCCCAACCCTCAGCAGCTCCGTGAGTGGTACACGCAGCGTCAGCGTGGTGGGAGTTTTGGTCCTTGCACCTACGTTCTTCGCACTGGCGACCGCACTGGAGAGCAGTGTGGGGGTACCCACTCCGCCCAGCGCTGCTTTGGCCGCCTGACGGACGCTTGGCGCCAGCAGTTCCCGGAGGCCGCGGAGATCCCCCGCTGGGGAGAGCTGTCTAAGGCTGGTGTAGCTATTTTTGATCTTGACTTTGATGCTATCCTTGCTGCTATGTATGCTGTGACCATTAGTGATGAGGGTGATTGTTACCGGTGTTTCCCGCCCGACCAGGGCATTGCGGCTGCTGCTCTAGGTGCCAGTGCGTCTGTGCTCTCAGGTACTGGTGAGGCTGCTCGCTCAGGTACTAGTGAGTCTGCGCTCTCAGGTACTGCGTCGGCCTCTGCCTCCCACACGTTCACCCTTGACTCTGGAGCGTCTCGCTCCTTCTTTCGGGACCGCACCACACTCACGCCGCTTAGTCGGCCGGTTGCGGTGTCCCTGGCTGACCCCTCTGGGGGTCCTGTCCTGTCTCGCTTCTCCACAGTCCTTCCGTGTCCGGCGGCACCCTCTGGCACCCTGTCTGGTCTCTACCTCCCCTCGTTCTCTACGAACTTGGTGAGTGGTGCTGACCTACAGGATGCGGGAGTCCACCAGTTCACCCCTGCTCGTCAGCGAGTGACGCACTGCACAGAGGCTAGCACAGGCCGTCACCTGGCTACGTTTACACGTCAGCCAGGGTCGAGCCTGTACACACTGACCACTCCTTCTCCTCCAGTTCCTGAGTCTGGTAGGGTCCCTTCGTCAGGCCAGGTGTTTGCTGCAGCGTCCAGGTCTGGTCCTGAGTCTGCCCCCTGTTCGTGTCGTCGCCTGTCTCACGAGACTCTCCTTTGGCACCACCGCCTGGGTCACCCCTCTCTGCTTCGGCTCAGAGGCATGGCCTCCCGTCTCCTTGTCTCTGGTCTCCCCAGGTCCCTCCCTCCCCTTCCTCAGGGCCCTGGCCCTGCCTGTGTCCCCTGTGTCGAGGGACGCCAGCGTGCTGCCCCTCACTCCTCCCAGTTTCCTCCGACAGAGGCTCCGTTGCAGACGCTTCACATGGACGTGTGGGGCCCTGCCCGCGTCCGTGGACTCAGTCACGAGCGCTACTTCCTGCTGGTGGTTGACGACTACTCGCGTTACACCGCGGTCTTCCCCTTGCGCAGTAAGGGTGATGTCACTGAGGTGCTGATCGACTGGATCCGCGCAGCTCGTCTCCAGCCCAGGCAGAGCTTTGGCTCGGACTTTGCTGTGTTGCGTCTGCACTCGGACAGAGGCGGAGAGTTCTCCTCTGGCCTTCTGCGTGCCTACTGTCGTGCGCGAGGCATCCGTCAGACCTTCACGCTTCCGGACTCACCGCAGCAAAATGGGATTGCAGAGCGCCGCATTGGCATGGTCATGGACGTCGCTCGTACATCTATGATGCATGCGGCTGCCCCCCATTTTCTGTGGCCGTTTGCGGTCAGGTACGCGGCGCATCAGATCAACCTCCACCCCAGGGTCTCCAGGCCGGAGACCTCCCCAGCCCTGCTGTGGACGGGGAAGGTTGGCGATGCGTCGGCGTTCCGGGTCTGGGGATCTCGGGCGTTTGTCCGCGACTTGTCTGCGGACAAGCTGTCCCCTCGCGCTGCTCCCTCCGTCTTCCTGGGGTTCCCCCCCGACGCCCCTGGGTGGCAGTTCTACCACCCCACCTCTCGCCGTGTTCTGTCCTCCCAGGACGTCACATTCGATGAGTCCGTCCCCTTCTACCGCCTCTTCCCCTACCGCACTCCTTCCCTCCCGCCGCCACCGCACTTCCTTGTGCCAGGTCCCCCCCCGGTCGACCCCCTTCCCCCTCAGGGTCCTGCCCCTTCAGGTGTGTCCCAGGTAGATGCAGTCGAGCCGGTCGAGGTTGCTGGTGACTCAGGTACTGCTGGGGGTGCTGAGCCTGGGGGTGCTGAGCCTGGGGGTGCTGACTCTGGGGGTGCTGAGTCTGGGGGTGCTGAGCCTGGGGGTGCTGAGCCTGGGGGTGCTGAGCCTGGGGGTGCTGCCTCTAGGGGTTCTGAGCCTGGGGGTGCTGACTCTGGGGGTGCTGCGCGCGTGGGTGCTGAGCCTGGGGGTGCTGAGCCTGGGGGTGCTGCGTCTGGAGCTGCTGAGCCTGGAGGTGTGGAGCCTGCGGCCAGTGGACCTCCCCTTGTGGCGTCTGGCGGTGCTGGGCCTGGAGGTTCTCCGGGTGCTTCGTCTCGGCGGGAGCCACTCTCTCCACAGGAGCTGCGTGAGTGGTTTGCTCGCCGCTGGAGGCGTACTGCTGGAGCTGGCGCTTCTTCGGCCGCTGAGGGTGCTTGTGCCGCCGGTCCCGGAGCTGCTGGGCTTGCAGGTCCGCTTGGAGCTGGAGCTGCTGAGGGTGTTGGTTCTGAGACTACTACTGTCCAACCTGGTGGTGGTCTTGCTGCGGGTGCTGCTGGTGCTGCTGGCGGTCCTGCCGCCGGAGGTGCTGTTGGCGCTGGTGCTGCCGGAGGTACTGAGGGTGCTGGTGCTGTCCCTGCTGTGTCTGGTGCCGCCGCGCGCCCTCGGCCGTACTTCGTTCCGCTCCTGCAGCAGGTTCTTGGTCCTTCTCCTCCTGTAGAGTGTCCACCGCCTGTCCTGTCACAGTCACAGTTAGAGCCTGCCTCCCCACTGCCTGCTCCCTCTCCTTACAATGGTCCTACTGGAGGTCTTACTGAGCGTCGTGAGCCTGCGTCTCGTCCTGCGTCGCCTTTTCGTGCTGCTCGCACTAGTGGTCGCAGTTCGCGTCAGCGTCCTCCTCCTGTCCCTGGCACGCACCGGATGTCTCTGCGTCCGTCCACTGCTCCTCTGCGTGCCCCTTTGCTCTCTCCTCCTGAGTCCTCTCTTCCTGCGCTTGCCGACCCTGAGTCGGACTCTCTTCGTGCTGCCAGTCCTACTGTCACGCGTCTCCTTGCTACTGTCGTCACTGACCCCTCCTTTGAGTCCACTGCTGCGTCTGCTCTTGTTGCTGAGCTCGTCGACTTTGCTGCTCGCTGTCGTCTAGACTACGCTGCTAGTCTTGTTGCTGAGTCTGCGTCTGTCTGTCCTCCGTCCGTCGGGGGTGAGTGTGCTCTTGGCACGGACGTCCTTGAGGACAGGCAGGAGGAGTTTCAGTGTCTGGCTGCTGCTTCACCTCATCTCGCGTCTGTACTGCTTGCCCCTGAGGGAGACCCGGATGCACTAGACATCCCGACTCCGCGCTCTTACGCGGAGGCCGTAGAGGGTCCCTACTCCTCTCAGTGGCAGGCAGCTATGGATGCAGAGATGGCTTCCTGGAAGTCCACAGGCACCTACGTTGACGCGGTTCCCCCTCCTGGGGCGAACATCGTCAGTGGGATGTGGATCTTCAGGGTGAAGCGGCCGCCGGGCTCTCCACCTGTCTTCAAGGCGCGGTACGTGGCTCGTGGCTTCAGTCAGCGGCATGGAGTTGACTACTTTCAGACCTTCTCTCCCACCCCGAAGATGACCACTCTTCGGGTGCTACTGCACATAGCCGCTCAGCGCGACTACGAGCTCCACTCTCTTGACTTCAGCACTGCTTTCTTGCAGGGTAGCCTGCACGAGGAGATCTGGCTGCGCCGTCCACCTGGCTTCACTGGGACTTTCCCTCCTGGCACCCAGTGGAGCCTCCGACGGCCAGTCTACGGTCTCCGCCAGGCACCGCGTGAGTGGCACGACACACTGAGGACTACGCTTGCGGCTCTTGGGTTTGCTCCCTCTACTGCTGACCCGTCGTTGTTTCTGCGCACCGACACTTCTCTGCCGCCGTTCTACATCCTCGTGTACGTCGACGACTTGGTCTTTGACACAGCTGACACTGCTGGACTCGCCTACGTGAAGTCCGAGCTGCAGAAGAGACACACGTGCACAGACCTGGGTGAACTGCGCAGCTACCTTGGCTTGCAGATCACACGGGACAAAGCACGCCGCACCATTACCCTGACTCAGTCAGACATGGTGCAGCAGGTCCTTCAGTGCTTCGGCTTCACGTACTCCTCGCCTCAGGCCACTCCTCTGTCTACTCGCCACTCGCTCTCAGCTCTGCCTTCGAATGAGTCCGTAGAGTCGAGTGGCCCGTACCCAGAGCTTGTTGGCTGCCTCATGTACCTGATGACCTGCACACGACCTGACCTTGCATACCCTCTTAGCATCTTGGCACGCTATGTTGCTCCTGGGAGACACCGACCAGAGCACATGGCTGCAGCGAAGAGGGTGTTGCGCTACTTGTGCAGTACGTCGGGCATGGGGCTAGTGCTTGGAGGGCGGAGTCCAGTGGTCCTCACTGGGCACGCGGACGCTTCTTGGGCTGACGACCAGGCTACGCAGCGGTCGTCGCAGGGTTACACCTTCAGTCTTGGTTCCGGCTCTGTTTCGTGGCGGGCTACTCGCTCGTCTTCTGTTCTCGGCTCCAGTTGTGAGGCTGAGATCTACGCCGGGGCCATGGCTGCTCAGGAGCTTCGCTGGCTCACCTACCTGCTGACTGACCTTGGAGAGCCGCCTCGTTCTCCTCCAGTGCTGTACGTAGACAACAAGGCCATGCTGGCCTTGTGTCGAGAGCAGCGCCTGGAGCACAGAACGAAGCACATTGCTCTCCGCTACTTTCTTGCTCGTGAGTTGCAGCAGCGTGGTCAGTTGCGACTTGCGTACGTGGCCTCTAAGGCCAACACTGCTGATGTTTTCACCAAGGCACTTCCGCCTTGTGATCATCAGCGTTTCTGTACTCAGCTGGGACTTGTCCCAGTCTTGCCTCACTTGCTCACCTCTTGACCTTACTTGTACTCTTGCATATATATATACCTGCTCTTGCTTGTTTAGACTTATATATATATGTCTCCTCCTGCATGTGAACTGGCCTTGTGGCCTTGACCTTGTGCTCGGACTGTGTGGTGACTTTGTGATCCACCCTGAGCTTGCTTTGCTTTGCTTTGCTTGACTGGTCTTGTGACCCCTTGTTCTCCCCCACTTTGCCTATGGGGGTGTGTCAGAACATTATAGCTTATGCTTTTGTGTAGGCTGTAGTGGGGTATCCCATAGGGGGTACAACCGAATTAGGGTTAGTACTTGTACCCACTTCATTCATAGTTCATTCTCGTTCTATTATCACACGAACGGCTTCGATGGATCGGCGATGCGCAGCACAGGAGGGGAAACGAGAAAATTCTTGAGTTCCTGGAACGCCGCTTCTGCCTCCTCCCCCCATACAAAATTCTTATCCTTGTCCAGCAGGACGGTCAGCGGGCCGGTTATCCCCGCCATATTCGGGATAAACCTCCAGACGTAATTTACGAATCCGAGGAAACTCTGGAGCTCCGTGACGTTCGTCGGGGACTTCCACTCCTGTATGGTCTTGATTTTCGCTGGGTCGATTTTAATGCCGTCGCGCGAGATGACGTGCCCCAAAAACTCCAACTCCTGCTTAAAAAACTCGCACTTAGAGCCCTTGGTGATGAGTCAGTTCTCCTGCAGCCGCTTAAACACTGCGTCCAGGTCACGGAGGTGCTGCTCCCTTGTCTTGCTAAAAATGAGGATATCGTCTAAGTAGACGATAACGCACCGGTCTAGAAGATCCCGAAAAACCCTGTTCACGGTCAGCTGAAAAGTTGAGGGCACGTTCGTGAGGCCGAAAGGCATCACTGTGAATTCGTAACTCCCGTAGCGTGTACGAAACGCAGTCTTATGTCAATCGTCGGCGAAGACTCGAATTTGATGGTAACCGCCACGTAAGTCAATTTTCGAGAAATAGCGAGCGCCACGAAGTTGGTCGAGGAGGTCGTCGGTGCGTGGGATTGGGTAGCGAGACTTGATGGTGACCCTGTTCAGCGCGCGATAGTCGATACACATGCGAAGCCCGCCGTCTTTCTTCGGAGTGAACAGAATCGGTGCTGCGAAGGGAGATGTGCTGGCCCGAATGAACCCTTTTTCCAACAGTGCGTCGATTTGTCGTTGCAGCTCCTCGAGTTCCGGCTGGGTCAACCGCCACTGTGTCCGAACGGTTGGTTGCGCTCCAGGTTCTAGCTGGATTTTGTGGTCCTCAGGTCTCTCCGGTGGCAGTCCAGGTGGCAGATCGTCGGGGAAGATTTCCGGGTACCTCTGAATCAGCTCCGCTAAATCCGGTGGTACAGCTGCACACAGCTTCTCGATGTCTTTTCCTTCGGTGTCGACTGCCAACTCGTGTAAACAAACGGCGAACAGCTGCGCGCCCCTGTTGAAGTGGCGAGCTATAGTGATGGCTTTGACGCACGGGGCTTGGATGTAGTCAGGGGTCCATGCAGGGAGCTTAATAAGTCCCTCGTGCTTGTTGATGCTGCACGTCCCCGTTGTCCAGTCGATGACAGGGTTGTGCCGTCGCAGCCAATCACGTCCCAGCAGTACGTCCCAGCCGTCCAATGTTGTCGCGAGGAACTTCATGCTGAAGCCGAAATCGTCGCCGCATTCGATCCTGACCGTCCGTGTTTCTTCCGTTATCGCCAGAGGCGTCCCGTCCACGAGGCGAGCGTCGACTTCGGGCAGACACCTGTCAAGTTGCAGCTTGCATTTTTTTGCGCTCGCCAAATTGAAGAGGCTATGACTGGCCCCTCCATCGACGAAATTTTTCAGGTTATTTTTTAACACCTTACCAGCGACCAGCACAGGGTGATCCACGTGATTATCCCCGTTATTCGGCCGAGTGCGATCGATTGCATGAATCGGAACCACGACTCGGTGGGGATGGTGGGGTTCGGGCGACGGAGCACAGTCAGTAAAGGGCCCGCTAATTACTGACTCTTCCCATTTCCCTGCTCCTTCCTGACGTTCCCCGTCAGTGGCGTTTTCTCGTGGCAATCTTTCATGTAGTGACCCGTCTTCCCACACCGGAAACACGGTCCCTTAGGAGGGCGGTCGGGTGTATGGACGACGTTGATCGTGGTCCGATGGGTCTGGCCACGAAAACGGTTTCCCTCCCGGGAAGCTGCTCTCGCGTACTGCATCAGCGCATCTGTGGACTCCGCCAACTGTACTGCTGCAAGAAATGACGTCGGACGGCCCCTGCGAACCTCGTACTGTATCTCGTATTTGAGGCCGCTGATGTACTTATCCAGCCGTTCAGCTTCCGACATGTCATCGACTTGGTCGGCGAGGCTCATAAATGACGCCGTGTAGTCTTGGACAGAAGCCATCTGCGACCATGCACGCAGCTTCATGCGAGCTTGCTCCGAGGCGGATACGTGCTCGAAGCGACCTCGTAAGGCTGCGCCCCACTCCTTCCACGTGAGTATCGTGGTCACTCCGAAGATCGACGTTGCCACTTGATTAGTCACTGTAGAGGTCCCGTCTGCCGCATGTATCACACCTGTCGGCATCCCTGTTTCCAAGGTTCAGCGCCACTACTCAAGCGCTGCACCTCGAAGAAGCGAAACTGCGTAATTAATACGCGTGGCGTCGTCATTAACTCCGGCTGCAGTAAAAAAGACTTCGACCCCGAACAACCACCCTTTTACCGTAACCGTCTTGTCCGTAGGATTAAACGGGGGTGGATTGACGGGCTTGATCTTGATCGTTGTCACCGCAACTGGAGCTGCTGCCGCTCGCTGCCTATCCTCCTCTTCGAAGTCACGTGTGAGCGCATCCAATGGATTGCTCATCGCCTGACTGTTGCCCTCGCCTTCGTCCACAGGCGACTCCTGACGCGCTTCACCTCGCGTCTGGCGTAGTTCGGCGTTTTCCTCGCGCAGTGTCGTCACTTCCGCCATTAACGTCTTCATGCTTTCCTGCATTTCTGCCACTTGCGCCATCATCTTGTTGACCGCTTCCTGATCCATATGCCTAACGCTACGTCTGGTGGGCAATCAGGTCTCCGTGGCCTTCAGGCAAATGAAAACACGAACTATCGGAGTCGCGCAGGATTGAATTAACAATCCCTGCAGCCAACCGTCGTGTAGTCACTAAACCAGCCACACCCTATGCCACCAAACTACCCTAGGAAAAGCGGGGTGAACTAGGAAAGTAGCTCTGATACCAGGTGTTATGAGTTGTAAAAGAGAGTGCGCAGGCAAACGAATAACGAAGCTGTGACTGAATCAACTGCGAATACAATGAATGCACAGACTAATGTAGGACTACTCTAGCTAGGAGGAAACCTCGGACGAGCGAGGTTGGGTGCAGGTTTGGCGATGGGAAAGCCGAAGGCGACGTGAGGAGCCTCGGCAGCGTTGAAATCGGCCGAACGTGCGAACTCCGAAATGTCAGAATAATATATAAATCTATATATTGTTTTGTAACTGCCTGTAGTGTAGACTACTGTAGTTATACAATATTCTGTTTGGTGGTGCACCTTTCTTCTTGCCTATATGTACTGCTCGCTCTATAGTGAAATCACTCTCTTCTCTTTTCAACTTTCTCGACTCTCCTAACTCAACTACTCGAACTCAACCAAGGCTCCTAAGTCATGGCTCCTAAGCCTAACTCTTACTAGTACTTTTCACATGTTATCAGAGCGTGTTCCGCTCCTGGACTCTTGCTTCCGCTGCTACTGAGTGTACTGCACGCCTCGTGGTGTGCCCTACTTTCGCGGCCCCGCCGCTCTGCTTTAGCGGCCCCGCCGCCCTGCTTTAGCGGCCCCGCCGCCCTGCACTTCTCGGCCCCGCCGCCCTGCTTAAGCGGCTCCGCCGCCCTACTGTTACGGCCTCGCCGCCTCTCTACTGTCGCGGCCCGCTGCCCTACTTAAGCGGCCCCGCCGCCCTACGCTTCGCGGCCCCGCCGCCTTTCTTAGCGGCCCTGCCGCCCTGCTATCGCGGCCCCGTCGCCCTTTCATCGCGGCCCCGCCGCCCTACCCTGCGGCCTCGCCGCCCTACTCCTGCGGCCCCGCCGCCCTACGTCGCGACCTTGCCGCCCTTCACCGCGGCCCCGCCGCCCTTGCTACGGCCCCGTCACCTACCAGCGGCCCCGACCAGTCACCGCCCTCAGCTGCGGCCCCGTCGCCACTCTCACCTGCGGCCCGTCGCCGCCCACATTTGCGGCCCCGTCGCCGCCCTCACCAGCGGCCTCGCCGCCCACATTGTGGCCCCGCCGCTCTCGGCCCCGGCCCCGTCTCCTACACCTGCGGCCCCGCCACCAGAGGCCCCGATGTCACCTGCGGCCCCGCCACCTGTGGCCCCGCCCACCCTTGCGGCCCTGTCGCCCACTTCGGCCCCGCCCACTTGCGGTCCCGCCCCCCCCCTTCTTCCCGTCACCTGTCGAGGCGACCTGAGGGGGCCGCGTGGCGACCTGAAAGGGGGGGGGAGTCGTCGCCCCCTCTGCCGCTTGCTTTGGCGCCCGGGGAGGCCGTGCGTCGGCCCCCCCCCCCCCCCCCTTCCCCCCCCCCCCCCTTCTCCTCCTCCTTTTGTTCCCTCTGCTGCAGCTGCCGCTGGGGGGGAGGGTGTGAGAGTGTGGGGGAGCCCGGGGAGGGACTAGGGGTGGCGGGTGTGGGGGTGATGGGCGAAGTGTGGTCCCCTGGCCCTACGGCCCCATCCTCCTCCGTTTTCCCCCCCCCTCTGCTGCTCCTGCAGCAGTGTGGGAGGGGGAGGGGGAGGGGGAAGATGAGGGGATGTAGGTGGTGACCAACCAGAGCCTATCACCTCCTCTCCTCTCTCTCCCTCTCTCTCTCTCTCCCTCTCTCCTCCTCCTTGCCTGCCCTCTCCCGTACTGCTACGCACTCTTGGTGTACCCCTTTATGGGGGCGTTGACTGCATATTCTTCCCTACAGGCACTTATGGGGGCGTGTCAGAATAATATATAAATCTATATATTGTTTTGTAACTGCCTGTAGTGTAGACTACTGTAGTTATACAATATTCTGTTTGGTGGTGCACCTTTCTTCTTGCCTATATGTACTGCTCGCTCTATAGTGAAATCACTCTCTTCTCTTTTCAACTTTCTCGACTCTCCTAACTCAACTACTCGAACTCAACCAAGGCTCCTAAGTCATGGCTCCTAAGCCTAACTCTTACTAGTACTTTTCACACGAAAATCGGGTTGTACGCGAAGCAGTCAACCCCGATAAGGAATTCGGGAAAATTCCTTACACACGTGTACATTTCGTAACAAAGGTATCGTGTCCTCGCCACTGTGGTAACCATCATGCCTAGATGGTCAATATTTTTGCCTGCATGGTAATGAACAGTGCATCCGGAATTCCTGGCTGGTAACTTCGCGTCTCAACCATATTGTACACCGTACAAGTAGAGTTTGACCCAGCGAAACGAAACTGACTGTCCACGTGTATTCCACAAACTGCGCATTTCTGCTTATAGTAGCGGCGTTTACAATCTCAAACGATAAAACATTGCTATGCTAAATGTGATTTGTTTAAGAAAAATAAAACTGAAAACATTAACTATTACACAAACGCCACAAAAAATACAATATCAAACCGCAAAGCTATCATAGTGATAAATATTGTGAAAACAAAATTAATACACTAGAATTTTACTTATGAATCTAAACAATTAGATCTAAAATCAAGTTACAGTAATTTTAATATATTTCAACAACTTTGTTTGCATATTAAAGGCATTGAAAGTTGCATACAAAAACAAAATCATTAATTCCACATTAAGAAATACATTCAATGCATGAACTAAACTATACGAGTATGTTACAAATAGTGTTATGCAAGATTTGTTTTTTTATGTTATTGCTACGACTTCATTTAAATCATACAATAAAGTTTCATGTGTGATTTCATTAATGTAATTGAACCATGAAATTGATCCTATGACGTTCTTGTTTTCTTTTTACAGTGTGTCTGTAAGATGCTTGCTATTATTGTATCGCATACGTGCATGTAACACTTTGCATTTGTAAGTGTTCGTACACTCTAGAGAATTGCGCATTCTGTTGGTATATACGTGGACAGCCAGTTTCGTTTCGATGAGTCAAACCCTACTTGTACGGTGTACAGTCTGGTTGAAACGCGAAGTTACCAGCCAGGAATTCCAGATGCACTGTTCATTACTACGCAGGCAAAAATATTGACCATCTAGGCATGATGGTTACCACAGTGGCGAGGACATGACACCTTTGTTACGAAATGTACACGTGGTTTAACTCGGGTGCGATTGAGCTCCATGAGTGTTACCGCAAAGATAAATGCCCATAAATTATGTTACGATCCTTGTGTTTGAATTCTTTCGACCCTACGGCTGCCACATGGCAGGTACGGATTGAGCTAACGCGAACGGATAAGGTCGAGATGGTGGCAAGGACGCGTCACGACACGCGAGGCGAGGAAGTAACTTGCCGCAGAATTCCTCGTGTCACATTTTCTGCTCGCCCCCTCACCTACCACTCATTGCAATGCAAGGCAGCGACATAAAACCCCGCTACCTGCGACATATTTTTGTTTGGTCGCGCCGTAGTTATATTTTGGTGGTCGCGGACCGCGGTATGCATGCGTAGATCGTGTCGCGTCGTAGTCTGGCCAACTGATCCCATGAGCTAGGTCGTTTTACCTCACTAGCTATTTGTCAACCTTGCCAGTTGCTACCCATGTTTCCTTTCTTGCCAACGTGCGCGGCCTTCTCAAACTCCCTGTTCCTCGCAGAAGTATGAATGCGATCAACAGCTTCACAACACTGATCATTGTCCCCCTTCCCCGGTGGTCTACCGGGTCGAATGCTCCCACTTGATGCTCGCGTTACCTTGCCGCTGCCACTGAAGCGTCGTTGAAACCGCTCAGTTATCTTTGCGCAAAACAAAAGCTGATAAACGGGAAAACATCACTTTTAAGAAGCACAAACACTCAGTAAAAACATATTACGGTACCACACCTATTCATCCATGGAAACATCATTCAAGGGTAGGAAGACTGGCAAGGCACGTGGTACCGTAGCTTGCCAGCATTCCTACCCCTGATCCCGAAAGCCTGCTGCCAATACGGCGCCTAGCACTCAACAGAACCAGGTCGCCGACTCGCAATCGCTCCGCATGTCACAGGCCACATGTTGAAAGGACTAAAGACTCGCTACTGCACCTAGGCGTGGACTCACTCAGCTTGAGCGAATCCTCCTCATTCCCGTAACGATCAATCAAGCAGTCGAAGGAGCGGCGGGCATTTTCACCCCCATCAGCTGCCCACCCCAGGTCACCCCCGACGCGGAACTTCCAGCCAGCACGGCGTATCCGGTCACTGTGCTGTTCACCCCGCCGATCGGCCCAGCACCTGGGGAACCACCTGAAAGTCCACCTGCAGGTGGCGGCTGCTGCTGGCCCCCCTGCGGCTGCCTTCCCTGCTGCTGTCCCCCCTTCTTGGCGGAGGTCAGCGCGCGGAGGAGCAGCCTCCCCTCCCCCAGCCCCATGCGCTTGCTGCCCTGCCCTTTCCCCGCGGCCCCTGCGCCGCTTCCGCTGCCGCCGCGCCCGCCGCCTTGCGGAAGTGTCGCGTTCGGAACGACGGCGAGGAGCGCCTCGACGGTGCCGGCGTCCGCGTTTTCGAGGAACGCGTCGAGGCGCGCTTCCGCGTGCAGCAGCCACCATCCCGCGCGCTGCTGCTAGTCGGATGCGGAGACAGGCAGCGCCAGGGCGGCGGAAGCGGAGGAGTCGCAGACGGCGCCCTTCACAATCGCGAGCGAATCAGGAGGGCCGCTGGCGGCGCCGACTAGGAGAGCGTCTACGACGAGATTGTAGTTGCCGGTGGAGTTTCTGCGAGCGACGGAAGGGAAAAGAGTGGGTGGAGGAAGGAGATGAGCGAATGACGGGGAGGGAGGCGAGGGGAACAACGACCGTATTCGCTTGGAGTTGCTGTGCGTTGAACAGAAAAATCATCCGAACCTTGAGGATGCGGTAATCTGTGTGGAAAAACGTCGCTTACTTGAAAATGGCGAGGTGGAAGCGGCCGTCGAAGATTTCCTGATCCGCGGAGCAGTTGGCCAATCGCGCGCCAACGTCGGCCGTCAGATTCCCGACGGCCGTCAGGTTAAGCGGAGGACCGCGCGGCTCCCCGCCAGGCGGCCCCGGAGGCCCGCCAGGTCCGCCAGATGCGCCGCCGGGCCCACTGGACCCTCCGGGGCCTCCGCGCGGCCCCCGGGGCCCCTGGCCGCCGGGACGGCTTCCGCCAGGCGGACCACGCTGCGCCAAGGCGGAAGTGGCTGCGAGGAGGAGAATGCACGCGAGGAAAAGCCTGGTGACGGCCATGGCTGTGGGTGAAAGGAAAACTAGGTGTGAGTTCTAGTTGGAGCTTGGAAGTGCTGTGCACGAGCTGATGTATGAATCGGGATTCTAGAGCTGGGGGGCTTGTTGAACAAGAAGCTGACTAGCCGGTGATGAATGGAACATGCAGAACGATGGCTGTTTATCTAAAACTAAACTGCCTCTCATGTCGAGCCGCAGTGAAAGAGACCGGTCAACAAGGCTTTATTGACGAGGTAGGTTCGTCACGTCGTTCAGCAACGCGGTTGGCTTAGATCAAAACCCCGTAGCTCCTCATGATGTTCCGAACCTCAAGTAAAGGTTTGGAGACGAAGCTCCACATATCGACGTTGAATATCTGCGACGCAGTCAATATTCGGGTCAGCGCAAAGTGCAAAGACACACAAACTGAGTCAACGTGCAATTCAGCAGGACACGCTACAGTTTGTCCCGGAGCAACCACCACGACCAAGAAACAGAACACTCACTTATACATAATAGGAATGATGGTTGAGCACAAACTGGTGCGCTTCTCATCTCAGGGCAAAGCCATCTGGTTGCCCAGACAATGTTTCTCTGAGTCTCATCATTTAAAAAATACATCACACAATCCCTCTACAACACATAATATTCTAGCAATTTCCTGAGCATTGAAGTGCCAACATTCCGCTTACTACAGTAACTGCAACACAAGGTTCATCACGTAATTGTTTGTTCTGTACTAGCCTGTAAACAAACTCAATCCCCTTCTTGTCTGCCGACCCATGCATTTGTCAAAAATACATCTCCACCGTTGCCTCACTCCACTTGGGCCCTCATGCCTCCAGTATTCCGAGCGACTGCCCCCACAGCATGCATCACTTCATTCATGTACGTCGTCTCTCCAAAACCCTCTCCAAGCACCTGAGCCCCACCAGCAGCACCATGTCATCCCTGTATCACTACACTTCCTTTGCCCCCAAGGCTGCAGCATTCCTAGCCACTGCCCCCACGGCATGCATCACCTCTTCCATGTACGGCCGTCACTCTGACGTCCTTTCCAAGCACCTCATCGCCACCACCGGCACGGCAGCACCGGCAGCACCAGCAGCACCGGCAGCATCGGCAGCATCGGCAGCACCAGCAGCATCGGCAGCACCGGCAGCACCGGCAGCATCGGCTCGGCAGCAGCACCAACAGATGCATGTGAGTCCAGCCAAAGCATCGCACCTGTCTCACTCCACTCCTTTTGCCCCCAAGGCTGCAGCATCCCTAGCCACTGCGCCCACAGCGTGCATCACCTCTTCCATGTACGGCCATCGCTCTGACGTCCTTTCCAGGCACCTCATCGCCACCACCACCAGCCGGTGTGCCAACCCCACATCCCACTCCCCTGCTGACGGATCCAACTGCCCCACACCTCCGCTGCTGACGCCACCCATGTGGTCGTCAATCTCACTGCCACTGCCAGTACCTCTGCCCTCCAACCCCGCAATAAGAGCAGCAGCACACGCAGGGTTCCATCGGATTTCCGAGGGCATGAAGTGAAGGTACCCAATCACATCCTCGACCTCCAGAAAGCGGGTGAGCAGGAGCATGAGAACCATCCCGTACGCATACACGTCTGTTTTCACTGTCGTGTTCTTTAAAAGAATCGTCTCGGTGTCGACAAACCCTGGCGTCCCACGCACGTCCCCCGTGACCACGGGATGTGAGGAGGAGGAGGAGGAGGAGGAGGAGGAGGAGGAGGAGGAGGAGGAGGAGGAGGAGGAGGAGGACGGGACAACGCAGGACAGCCCCATGCCAGCGAGTTTGCTGGTGCGTGATTGGTCGAGGAGAATGTTGTCGGGTTTGAGGTCGCGGTGGAGGATGGGCGGGTGGGACTGGTGCAGGCAGAGCAAGGCCGAGCCGATTTCGGCTGCGATGCACATTCCGGTCCCGCCAGGAGAGGTGGAGGGGGAGCGGCAGAGGGAAAGAGCGCGCGGGAGAAGGAGGCAGGGGTAACGAAAGTGTTCCTGCTGCTGCTGCTGTTGCGGCTTCAGCATGAGTCATTTTGGAAGCCTCTGGACCGAAGTAACGAGCCACCTTGGTCTCCCAGAGCTTGGCCATCAGCAGCTGCTCCTGCAGGCTGCCCCCCGGCATGAACTCGTATGCGAGCGCAAGGGAAGCCGAGAGGGGGTCCTTGTAGCGGCCCACCAGGCGGATAATGTGCGGGTGGTGCTGCACATCTTGCACGCGCAGGAGAACATCCACCTCTCTTGCGAACGCCTGCATCGCCTCTTTGGCCTCCTGCTTGTCGGCGAAACGGAGCAGCCTCACTGCCACCTCCTCCTCCATGCCCTCAGTTTGACTATCCTTGCTCCCATGGGCGCCTTGGGTCACTGCCACCTCCTCCTCCATGCCCTGCTTGCCCTCCCTCTCACCATCACTACTTTCATCGTGCAGCGTGCCCTCACGGCCGCTCTCACCCTGCTTGCCCTCCCTCTCACGATTCACTACTTTCATCGTGCAGCGTGCCCCCACGGCTGCTCTCACCCGGCTTGCCCTCCCTCTCACCATTCACTGCTTTCATCGTGCAGCGTGCCCCCACGGCTGCTCTCACCCGGCTTGCCCTCCCTCTCACCATCACTGCTTTCATCGTGCAGCGTGCCCCCATGGCTGCTCTCACCCGGCTTGCCCTCCCTCTCACCATCACTGCTTTCATCGTGCAGCGTGCCCCCACGGCTGCTCTCACTCGGCTTGCCCTCCCTCTCACCATCACTGCTTTCATCGTGCAGCGTGCCCCCACGGCTGCTCTCACCCGGCTTGCCCTCCCTCTCACCATCACTGCTCCCACAGGAGCTACTCGCATGCTGCTGCTCGCCAGTTGCAAGCTCTTCGCCGCCAGCTGTCGCGGTGTAATGGGTCGGATCCGGCCGCCCATAATACAGGGAGCCATGCTCCCCATTCACGATAAAGTTCTCCTGGGCAAACCCGTTAGTGGTAGTGGCTAGGTCGGCAGGGGAGAAGAGCAGGCAGTGGGGAGGCGAGGGGCGGGCAGAGGCAGGAGGAGAACTGGAAGAGAACGCAGAGGACGTCGATGGAAACGAGGGGTGTGCTGATGAGGAGAGTGCTGCACTTCCAGTTCCACTTTCACTTCCAGTTCCACTTTCACTTCCAGTTCCACTTTCACTTCCAGTTCCAATTTCACTTCCAGTTCCACTTTCACTTCCAGTTCCACTTGCACTTCCAGTTCCACTTTCACTTCCAGTTCCACTTTCACTTCTAGTTCCACTTTCACTTCCAGTTCCACTTTCCACTTCCAGTTCCACTTTCCACTTTCACTTCCAGTTCCACTTTCACTTCCAGTTCCACTTTCACTTCCAGTTCCACTTTCACTTCCAGTTCCACTTTCACTTCCAGTTCCACTTTCGCTCTCACCTCCACGTTCACTTCCACTCACGGCACTGTGGTCTTAGAATCTTAGCCATGAAGTTGTGTGTCATTAGATCAAGGTTGGGGTACAAGACTAGAGTGTCAAGAATGTTTCTGTACCCCCTAAGGCTAGCCCCAATATAGCCTAGATACTAATATGCATATGTTTTGACACACCCCCATAGGCGAAATGGGGGATCGCCAGAGGAAGCAATGGTCACAAGACCAATCAACAGAAGAAACAAAACACAGCTGAGGGTGGATCACAACGTCACCACACACACTGAGCACAAGCAAACGGCCACAAGGCCAGTCCACATGCAGAGGTATATAAGCAACAAGAACAGCACACTTATCTCTACCTAGCAAGAGCAACCATGCAGGTATATATATATAGATCACAGTACAAGCAGAGACTACAGCAAGTGTGGAAACGTAGGCACAAGGCCCAACAAAGTACAAAAGCGCTGATGGTCACCAGACGGAAGTGCCTTGGTGAATATATCAGCAGTGTTGGCCCGAGTGGCCACGTGAGCAAGGCGAAGCTGACCCCACTGCTGCAACTCTCGAGCTAGGAAGTAACGCAGAGCGATGTGCTTCGTTTTGTGCTCCAGTCTGTGCTCCTGACACAAGGCAATGGCGGCCTTGTTGTCTACGTACAGAACTCGAGGAGAACGAGGCCACTCTCCCAGGTCGGTCAGCAGGTAGGTGAGCCAGCGTAACTCCTGTGCAGCCATGGCTGTGGCGTAGATCTCAGCCTCACACCTGGAGTTGAGAACAAAAGACGAGCGTGTAGAACGCCAAGAAACTGAACCAGAGCCAAGGCTGAAGGTGTAACCCTGTGACGACCGCTGCGTAGCCTGGTCGTCAACTCTGAGTGCCCAGTGAGGACAACGTCGCTCCGTCCTCCAAGCACGAGCCCCATGCCTGATGTACTGCACAAGTAGCGTAGTACCCTCTTAGCAGCATCCATGTGCACCTTTCGGTGCCAACCAGGAGCCACGTAGCGAGCCAAAAGGCCAAGAGGGTACGCAAGGTCAGGACGAGTGCAGGTCATCAGGTACATGAGGCAGCCCACTAGCTCTGGGTAAGGACCACTTCGCTCTACGGACTCGTCCGAAGGTGGAGCTGAGAGCGAGAAATCTGTAGCCAGAGGAGTGGCGAGTGCCGAGGACCAGGAGAAACCGAAGCGCTGAAGGACCTGTTGCACCATGTGTGACTAAGTCAGTGTGATGGTGCGGCGTGCTCTGTCTCGGGTGATCTGCAAGCCAAGGTAACTGCGCAGCTCACCCAGGTCTGTGCACGTGTGTCTCTTCTGCAGCTCTGACTTCACCAGACCAAGAGCCTCAGTGTCAGCAGTGGCAAAGACCAAGTCGTCGACCTACACGAGGATGTACAACGGCGGCAGCGAAGTGTCGGTGCGCAGAAACAGCGACGGATCAGCAGTCGACGGAGCAAACCCAAGAGCAGAAAGTGTAGTCCTCAATGTGTCGTGCCGCTCACGTGGCGCCTGGCGGAGACCGTAGACCGGCCGCCGGAGGCTCCACTGGGTACCAGGAGGGAACGACCCAGTGAAGCCAGGAGGGCGGCGCAGCCAGATCTCCTCGTGCAGACTGCCCTGCAAGAAAGCTGTGTTGAAGTCAAGAGAGTGAAGCTCGTAGTCATGCTGAGCGGCAACGTGCAGCAGTACCCGAAGAGTGGTCATCTTCGGGGTGGGGGAGAAGGTCTGAAAGAAGTATACTCCCTCTCGCTGACTGAAACCTCGTGCAACGTAACGAGCCTTGAAGACAGGCGGAGAACCTGGCGGCCGCTTCACCATGAAAATTCACATGCCACTGACCATGTTCGCCCCAGGAGGGGGAACCTCGTTGACGTAAGTGCCTGTGGACTTCCAGGATACCATCTCTGCGTCCATGGCTGTCTGCCACTGAGAGGAGTACTCACCCGTGATCGCCTCAGCGTAAGAGCGCGAGGTCGGGATGTTTGGAGCATCCAGGTCTCCCTCAGGGGCAAACAGCATGGACACGAGATGAGGCGCAGCGGCTGCAAGACACTCCAGGTCCTCCTGCCTGTCCTCAAGGACGTCCGTGCCAAGAGCACACTTACCCCCGACGGACGGAGGACAGACAAAATCAGACTCAGCAACAAGACTAGCGGCGTAGTCTAGACGACAGGCAGCAGCAAAGTCAACAAGCTCAGCGACGAAGGCAGAGGCAGCAGCAGACTCAAACGACGGGTCAGTGAGAATTGTGGCTAGCAGACGCGTGACGGTAGAATGAGCAGCATAGGTGAGGTCAGACTCAGGCTCAGGAACGGTAGGCAGAGAAGACGCAGGAGGGGACAGCAGGGGAACACGCTGCGGAGGAGAGGAAGGACGACGGACGACGAGGTGGGTGCCGGAGACAGCTGGTAGACGCGAACGAGGAACACGACCAGGACGGACAGGCGAGACAGGACGCGACGCTGGCTCACGACGCTCAGTAAGACCCCCTGTGTGCTCAGTGTAAGGAGAAGGAGCAGGCAGTGGTGAGCCAGGGTGTAACGGAAGACCAGTAGACGAAGGGAGACTAAGAACCTGGCGATGCACAGAGTCAGGCGATGGGTGAGACGACGGAGACGAAGGAGCAAAGAACAGGCGCGGCTGTGCAGTGCCACCACCACCACCAGCTCCAGTACCCCCAGCAGCTTTAGCACCTCCAACAGCTCCAGAACCCTCAGCGCCAGCTCCTCCAGGACCAGCTCCACCAGCAGCAGCACCCTCAGCACCAGCACCTCTAGTCCCAGGGACTCCAGCCTCAGTGTCTCCAACACCAGCACCCCCAGACTCAGTACCTCCTGCAGCAGCACCCTCAGGCTCAGCACCTCCAGCCCCAGCAGCTCCAGTACCTCCAGTACGAGCACCTCCGGGACCAGCACCACTCCCAGCTCCAGTGACGCCAGCAGAAGTACCTCTAGCGGCAGAGCCCCGAGCTCCAGAAGCGCGACCCTGACGGCGACCGTACCAGTCGTGCAGCTGCTGTGAGGTGAGAGGCACACGCGGACGAAGGCGGCTACTCCAAGGAGACCGCACAACAACAGACTCAGAACCCTCAGCGCCAGCACCCGCAGCAGCTCCAGACCCTCTAGCGCCAGCACCCGCAGTAGCTCCAGAACCTCCAGCTCCAGCACCCTCAGCAGCCCCAGAGCCTCCAGCTCCAGCACCCTCAGCAGCTCCAGAACCTCCAGCTCTAGCACCCGCAGTAGCTCCAGAACATCCAGCAGAAACAACTCCAGTAGCAGAGTCACCAGCTCCAGCGCCTCCCGCAGCAGGGCCCCTAGCTCCAGCAGCGTGACCCTGACGGTCAGCGTACCACTCACGCAACTGCTGTGGGGAGAGAGGGAGTCGACGACGAGAGTGCAGCCGCGATGTACCAGCGGAGCGACTACGGAGACGGCCGCCCCAGGGAGACTGCTCACCAGACGCCTCAGCGCCCCCAGGTGCAGCACCCCCAGACTCAGTACCCCCAGGCTCAGCACCCCCAGACTCCTCACGCCCAGGCTCTGCACCTCCAGTCTCCGCACCCCCTGGCTCCGCACCCCCAGGCTCAGCACCCCCAGAAGCAGCACCCCGAGCAGGACCTGGGTCACCAGTGACCTCAACTGGCGCAGGCAAGGGAGGAGGGTCTACCTGAGACACACCTGAAGGAGCAGGACCGGGAGCGGGGTTGGGGTCTACCTGGGGAGCACCTGGAGTGAGGAAGAGCGGCCGGGGGGGGAGAGGGGCAGTGCGGTAGGGGAAGAGACGGTGAAAGGGAATCGACTCGTCGAACGTGACGTCCTGAGAGGGGAAGACATGGCGCGAGGTGGGGCGGTAAAACTGCCAACCGGGCGCGTCAGGGACAAAGCCAAGAAAGACACAGGTAATAGCGCAGGCAGAGAGCTTGTCCGCGGTGGTATCGCGGACAAAGGCACGAGCACCCCAGACCCGGAAACGCGACGCATCGCCAACCTTCCCCGTCCACAGCAGTGTGGGCGAGGTCTCCGGCAAGGAGACACGGGGCCAGAGATTGAGCTGATGCGCGGCGTACCGGACCGCAAACGGCCACAGAAAATGGGGGGCAGCCGCATGGATCATGGAGGTACGAGCGACCTCCATGACAAAGCCAATGCGGCGCTCAGCAACCCCATTATGCTGCGGAGAGGCCGGAAGTGTAAACGTCTGGCGGATGCCGTGCTCCGCACAGAAGGCTGCCAAGAGGTCGGAGGAAAACTCCCCACCTCTGTCAGAGTGCAGACGGGAAACTCCGTCCCGAACCGCTCGTGGAGCTGGAGACGAGCAGCGCGGATCCAAGGGATCAAAACATCAGGGACCTCACCCTTGGTGCGCAAGGGGAAGACCGTGGTGTAACGCGTGTAGTCGTCGACGACCACCAGGAAGTACCGCTTGTGGCCCTGTCCACGGACGTGGGCTGGGCCCCACACGTCCAGGTGGAGAGTCTGTAGAGGAGCCTCTGTGGGAGGGAACGAGGAGGAGTGAGGAGCGGCGCGCTGCCGCCCCTCGACACAGGGAAGACAGGGAGGAGCAGGCGAGGGTGGGAGGGGAGGGAGAACCGTGGGAAGACCAGAGACAAGGACACGGCGGTGCATGCTGCGAAGGCGCTGCACCGAGGGGTGACCAAGGCGGTGGTGCCAAAGGAGGGTCTGGTGCGACAAGGCGCGACACGAGCAGGGGGCCGACAACTGACCTGACGCAAACGCAAACGCTGCTACCTGAGGGGACTCAGTGGTCAGTGTGTACAAGCCCGACCCCGGCTGCCGAGTGAAGGTAGCCAAGTGACGACCCGTCTGAGCACACGTGCAGTGTGTCACACGCTCGTAGGCAGGGGTGAACTGGTGAACACCCGCGTCCTGGAGCGCAGAACCCGCCACCAAGTTCGTAGAGAACTAGAGGAGGTAAAGACCCGATAGTGTGCCGGACGGGACAGCAGGACAAGGGAGGACAGTGGTGGAGGTCGCACGGACTGGACCCCTAGAGGGGTCTGCCAGAGAGAGTGCAACCGGCCGACTGAGCGGCGTGAGGGTGGTGCTGTTGCGAAAGAAGGAGCGAGAAGCACCGGAGTCAAGTGTAAAGGTGTAAAAGGCCTCAGCAGGTGCAGTACCAGAGAGAGCAGACTCACCAGCACCTGGAGCAGAAGCCTCACCAGCACCTAGGGCAGCAGCCTCACCAGCACCTAGAGCAGCAGGCTCTATACCTGGGTCAGGCGGTACGCACAGGTAACAGGCACCGTCAGCACTAGTAGGCAATGCATACATGGCAGTGAGAATAGCATCATAGTCAAGAGCAAATACATCTACCCTCTGCCTAAGCATCTCCAGCCAGGTGGGGAGCTCAGCCTTGTCGCCAAACTCGGTACGCCAGTCGTCGCTCAGACGGGCGAAGCAGCGGGATTGTGTGTGACCAGGTGTCCCGCAAGGCTGACCAGCCCGATCACCTGTGCGAATGACGTACACGCAGCGAACGGGACTCAAAGACCCTCTGCTCTGAGGAATATATTAGAGAGCGTAGCGATAACGAGAGAGTTTCTGCTATGGGAATGATGTTGCGCCAGCAACTTGGTAGCGTTTCGGTAGTGAGAATTTGAGTAGAGATTGGACTTCACTAGGAAAATAGAATATATAAAACACACAAGCAAACACACATGCAAATATAGGCTAAGGGAGAGATGCACAAAGTGGCGTGGCCCTGCGAGTAACCCAACCCACACGAAAGTGTCGCGTGGGTGGGTGAACGCACCTCGACCAATTCCAACCTGACTCAGCAGCGGAATGGTTCGCCATGCACGTCACACCACTGAGCACCAACCCCAACTCGGCTACACCACACAAGACACCCAGAGACTTGCTAGGACGTAGCGTGCCTTACCAGGAAGGCTTACACGACTCCCATACACTAGCACAAGCTCAATCGCAGTTGCTGCTAGTCAATGCGTGACTACCGACTTTCCCGTGTTGGTGTTGTTAACGCTGGTAGTCGCCCACTGCAAACAACCGAGTCAACAGCTTCGCGAGGGCCCTTGCTGTCGTAGGTTAAAGGTTAAAGTTATATTTCTGGTCGTAACCAGTTTAAGGGGTATCCATTCCTAGATGAGCACGAGCTAACCCCTTCTTGGGGCTGGCAGAACACGCCTGCACGGGGGTGGGTTCGATCCCAGGGCCTCATCTATCGGAAGTGCCTCTTTCTACTGACTAGGCCACTTCTGGATGCCCTTGCTGTCGTAGGGCCCTCTAACACAGGAATCAGACCGAGGACGAAACGGGAAACTCGATGTAACCAGCAAATGACACAACACCAGTGCCGAGCCGCGCTAGTCACGTGAGCACTTTCATGCCACCGCTTGGGAATCAAACCTTCGTCATTTTTCGCTTGCATGCGGATTTGGAGTGTGTCACAGTCACTGTCTGTCATTGTAGAGTAAGACCCCATGGTCCTAGAGGTTCGGTTTGCATCAACTAAACTGCGCGAAATGCGCTCCCTCGAGCCTAACGCCACGATTTTCCTCGCGTGGTATTACGGTACGTTTATCCTCATTATAAATCTGAATCTACAAGACGAGGTTGAGTTATCTTCGATAAATCGAACTGGAGGTTTACATTACCACATGAACGTGTTTAACTTGTCACAGACTTGAACAACTACATTTCCTAAAAGTGAAACTTTTTGTTCCATCATCAACTCACCACACATTTTTGCACATGATCCTCAACCCTTGCCCTGAAACAGAATGGAGAATGCTCCTCTATACATAATCTTTCTACTGTGCCTGCGAACAGCCACACCACATCCAACTTGCTGCTTCTGGTTACATAATCAATTATTTCCGTAGTTTCAGCACTTCTCACAGCACACTCTTTTGCCATAAAAGCTGCAGCATCCCTAGCCACTCCACCCGCGGCGCGCATCACTTGGTCCATGTACGGCCGTCGCTCCGAAACCCTCTCCAGGCACCTGAGCGCCACCAGCAGCAGCCACATGTGAGCCAAACACCCCACCCACGTCCCACTTGCAAATCCCACACCCCCCTCCTGTGCGTCTGCGTCTCATTCCACTCTCTCCCGCGTGTGCGTCAGACCTTGCCTCACTCCACTTTGTCCCCCCTGGCAGCAGCATCTCTTGCCACAGCACCAACTGCCTCCATCACCTCTTCCATGTACGGTCGCCGCTCTGACGTTCTCTCCAGGCACCTCAGTGCCACCACGAGCAGCCGGTGAGCCAACCCCACGTCCCACTCCCCTGCTGACGGATCTAACTGCCCTATACTGCTGCTGCTGCTGTTGTCGTCGCTCTTGCTGCTACCGCTGCTGCTACCGCTGCTGGTGCTCGTGCTTGTGCTGGTGGTGCTGCTGCTGGCACTGCCGCTCCCACTGTTTCCAATCCCCGCAATTACTGCAGTCGCAGCACGTGCAGGGCTCCGCATAACCTCAAACGGGAGCGAGCTCAGGTACCTGTGCAGGTCCCTAGCAGCGGGGAAGCGCGTCAGCAGTAGCATCAGCACCACCCCGTACGCATACACATCCGACTTGGTCGTCAACTCTCCCGATTCCACCGCCTCGGGGTCTATAAACCCGATTGTCCCGCGGACTTTCCGGGTAAATACCACATTGGAGGACGGGACAACGCAGGAGAGGCCCACATCAGCAACCTTGCTGGTGCATGATTGGTCGAGGAGAATGTTGTCGGGTTTGAGGTCCCGGTGGAGGATGGGCGGGTGGGACTGGTGCAGGCAGAGCAAGGCCGAGGCGATTTCGGCTGCGATGCGGATGCGGTCGCGCCAGGAGAGGTGGAGGGGGAGTGGGAAGTTTGAAGCCGGGGTGGGAGCTGGTGCTGCTGCTGCTGCTGATGCTGCTGATGCTGCTCCAGCTCCTGGTTCTGCTACAACTGCTGCTGCTCCCTCTGCTGCTGCTGCTGCTGCTGCTGCTGCTGCTCCTGCCGCTCCGGCTGCTGCAATTGCATCAGATACCCCATTCTTGGCCCTCAGCAGCTGGTCCTGCAGGCTGCCCCCCGCCATGAACTCATAAACCAGAGACAGATCGTGATCACAGCGGCCCACCAGGCAAACGATGTGAGTGTGCTGCACGCGTAAAAGGATATCCACCTCTCGCACAAAGGCTTCTATCGCCTCCTGCTTGCTGGCTGACCTGTGCACCTTCACGGCCACCTGCATGCCGTCCCTGCTGCTGTTACCACTCTGGTTACTGAGCTTGTTACCAGTCTGGTTACCACATTGCGCACCTTCAAACGAGTCCCCGCTGCCAGCTGGCGCGCTGTGATTGGTCGGATCCAGCCAGCCGCGATACACAGGGCCGTACGCGCCGCTTCCAAGAAAGTTCTCCTGGGAGAAACTGTCGGTGATGGTGGCTAGGTCAGCCGGGGAGAAGAGCAGGCAGCGGGGAGGGGAGGGGGCTGGGTGGGCTGGAGAGGAGGCAGAGGCGGAGGCAGAAGCAGAGGCGGAGGCGGAGGCGGAGGAGGAGGAGGAGGAGGAGGAGGAGGAGGAGGAGGAGGAGGAGGAGGAGGAGGAGGAGGAGGAGGAGGAGGAGGAGGAGGAGGAGGAGGAGGAGGAGGAGGAGGAGGAGGGAGGGGGAACACGGGAATGAGGCGTTGTTGTACCTAATGAAGGTATTTCTGTTGCTGCTAAAGAAGGCTGCGCTGCTACAGGGGGCGCTGTTCCCAACGTTGTTGCTGGATGGGAGTCCAAGCCAGGCACACTGTGCCCATGCTGCTGCTGCACATGCAGTGCACTTTTCATTGTCTCCCAAAAAGCCTTCCCCCCCTGCCCCTGCCCCTGCCCCTGCCCCTGCCCCTGCCCCTGCCCCTGCTCCACCCTCCCCAGCAGCCTCTCCCCCCACACCGGCCGCTGCGAGTTTTCGCTGTTCCTTCTCTGCATCTCTCCCTCCACCTCCACGCACCCTGAGAGTCCCTCCTCCCACCGTGCCCCTTCTCTCGCACTGGTGAAGTCTGAGAAGGAAGAGCGGCGAGCACTTTGCTCCGGGTCTGCCATGCCTATGTCCACACTGCCCCGCTGCACCTGCTGCTGCTGCACCTGCTGCACCTGCTGCGAGGAAGAAAGAATTGCCTGCTGCTGCTCCTGATGCTGCGGCTGCTGCTGCTCCCCCTCTAACACCATCACAGCAGCACATTCCACTGCTGACCCTGTCGACCGATCAAAGATGCTTCTGCTGCTGCTGCTACTGTTGCTCCCTGACCCTCCTCCTCCTCCTCCTCCTCCTCCTGCTGCTGCTGACGCGCCCGCGCCTCCCCCAGTTGCCAAATCATCCCTGCGAAGCCGCTGTGCCAGATCCGCCATCTCCTGGCACAGGAACCCGTTCAGCTGCATGCTCGTGCGGGAGGGCTGTGAGAGGAAGGACATGTGGGAAATGGTGGGGAGAGGGAGAAGGGGTGGGGACGGGTTCAAGGCGCTGCAAGACTGCTCCGCCATCTCCTGGCAGGAAAAGGCATTCAGGTGCACACTCGCGTCAATCACAAAACATCGATCCTCACCGTGGCACTGGACGACCAGCTGTTGGTGGAGATGCGCCTAGCAGCCACCACAGCCACCACAGCCGCGCCCAGCCCCAATTCATCAGCCAGCCAGTCCTCCCCGCCCTCCTCATCCCCCATCCACTCGCCTAAGACGATACAATCTCACCCATAGCGAGAGCTCACTTTTGAGTCGACTCAAAAGTCATCCCCGCCCTCCTCATCCCCCATCCACTCGCCTAAAACGATACAACCTCACCCATAAAGCGAGAGCTCAGCTCACCGTCGCAGCAGAGGACCAGCTGTTGGTGGAAAGCCGCCGGGCCGCCACCACAGCCGCACCCAGACCCACGTCATCAGCCAGCCAGTAGTCCCCGTCCCCCTCGTCACCCTCCCACTCACCTCAGCCTGTACAATCACAATCATAGAGCTCACCGCCAGCACAGCACTCACCGTGGCAGCAGAAGACCAGCTGTTGGTGGAAATGCGCCGAGCTGCCACCACAGCCGCGCCCAGACCCAGGTCATCCGCCAACCAGTCGTCCTCATCCTCCTCATCTCCCCCTAATGCTTCCTGCAACCGCCGCCTTGCCAACTCCGCCGCAGTCAATTCCCCCCCTCCATCCCCTTCCTCCGCCTCCCCACTTCTTTCCCCTTTCTCATTCCCATCCCCTCTCCGCTCCTCATCCCTGTTTCCATCCCTCTGCAGTCTCCAAGCCAGCCCTTGTGCGCCTGCCGTGCCTGCTGCCGCGCCTGCTGCACTGCTCCCTCTGACGACTGCTGTGCTGCTGACGCCGCTTCTACTAGCAGTGATGCTGCTGCTGGTGGTGGTAGTGCTAGTGGGGCTGGTTTCGCTGGTGGCAGCGGCCCAGGGGTTGGAGAACACAGGTGCTTCTCGCTGCACACGCAGCGGTGACGAGTGCCGAGGGTGAGGCTGCTCGACAGGCTGGGGGGGAGTGAAAGAGAGGGGAGGGGAGAATGGGGGGGAGGGAAGAGGAGAGGGGAAGGGGAGGGGCGTGAAGGGAAGGGAAGGGGAGGTAATGTGATGCCACAGACAGAGGGATGTGATGCACGGATATGCCTGTCCCGTTGGAGCCTGGCGGGACAGGGTTTTCTTTCAGGTGCGTAACACTTGCGCACGTGATCAAGACAAGTTACTTACCTTACATAGCTACGCATTACACTTTGGTTGCTGAGTCAGTTTACACTTCCAATCCGGCTACCTTAGCGTTTCAAGGGTTATGTTTGTGAAGCACAAGGCTAGGGGGGATTCCGGACCTTTGAGTCGACTCAACAGTCACCTCGTTTCAAGGGCTATTTTTGTGAGGCACAAGGTTAGGGGAGATTCCGGACCATACGCTGACAACCCTCCATATTCTCTCACCTTCTCGCCCATATCCGGGAAGCTTCTTGTCTTCTTCATCTCCCTGTCGCCCATCCCCAACCTCCCATCCCCTCCACCACCACCCCCTCCGCCTTCCCCTCTTCCGCCATCCCCATTTCCCCCATCCCCCCTTCCACCATCCCCCCTTCCGCCATCCCCCCTTCCGCCATCCCCCCTTCTGCCATCCCCCCTTCCGCAATCCCCCCTTCCGCCATCCCCCCTTCCCCTATCTCCGCCCCTGGCATCCCCCTCGTTCTCCTGCATAGCAGCTGCTGCCAGCATGAGCACTTCAAACCCATCTGCCCCACCCCCTTTTCGCCCCTTCTGCCCCTTCTGCCTGCTCCCTTCCGCTCCCCACTTACTGCCCTTGCTCTCGTCTCCTCCCCTACCCTCCACTCCTTCCTTTCTCTCAGCTCTTTTCTCTCCTCCCTCCCGCGCTCGCCGTTTCTCATGCCCTAACTTCCGCCCATGCGCCTGTTTCTTCCACCCACCCGCACCGCCCTCCACCTCACTCCCTGCCATCCCAATAGGGAATTCAGCTGACTGCACCTTCCTCTGCTGCTCCCCTGACTGCTGCCCCTCTGCCCGCCCCTCGCTCCGCCCCATGCCAGTCTGCCTACCGTCTTCCAGCACCACTGGCAGCATAGGAGCTCCAAAAAACACTCCCCTCGCGCCCCTCGCGCCCCCCACAACCCCCCCATCCCCCCCACCCCCCCCCGCCCCCCACGCCCCGCAGCTCCCTCCGCAGCTGGCGCTCCCGTTCAGCCCGAAAGAACATGCCTGCGCGAACCACGTCTCTGCCCTGCTGCTGCACCATCGCGCGCGCCATCACCCCCCCCAGCAACCCCGCACCCGCCAAGCCCCCCGCTGCCAGCGCACCCCCTGCTGCCACCCTGTCACGCCCAGCGTCGCTGCTAGCCTCCTCTACAGTCTCCCTTGTCCCACCCACTCCCAAACCACTGCTCGCAGTTGCATAGGCCGCGTCTGTAGCAGGAGCGTGTGTGGCAGGAGCGTCTGTAGCAGGAGCGTGTGTGGCAGGAGCGTCTGTAGCAGGAGCGTGTGTGGCAGGAGCGTGTGTGGCAGGAGCGTCTGAAACAGGCGCTTCTGCCCTGCTGGAGTGGTCCTTGGCCTCGCGTCTCCCTCCTCCTCCCCCTCCTCCCCCTCCTCCTCCCCCTCCTCCTCCCCCTCCTCCTCCTCCTCCTTCTCCTCCTCCTTCTCCTTCGCCCCCTTCCAGCTCGGCGTCCCAGTAGGAGAAGTCGATTCTGTCCAGACTGCTGCTCCTGCTGAGGCCCCTTTGACGGTTCCTCCGCGCACGAGAAACAGCCGCAACCGCACCAGCAGCAGAACTAGGAGCAGCAGCAACTGCTGCACCAACAACATCACCAGCAGCACCAGCAATAGTTTGAGTACCAAAAGCAGCACCAGAAGCGCTAGCAGCAGCACTTAACACCGCACCTCCCCTTGCTGCACCTGCTGCTGACCGCACTGCTGGCTCTTTACCTGCTAAACCCCCGGATTCCTCCCCCACGTCTCTGCTCTTTTCACCTGAAGCACCACCTGAGCCCAGGTGCTCCGAACCATCCTGAAAGGACGGGAACCTGATGAGAGAACTTGAGGCGCCTGAAACGGTGGAACGGGTAGAAGCTAAGGGTGCTACGGCGGGGACTGGAATAGCCTTGCTGATCGCAGCAGCAGGATCTGGGGCGTCTGAACGAGTGGGAAGCGCACAGGCGAGGGGAGCGACGGTTGGGCCTGCAGGGGCTTCAGCAGCCGTGCTCGAAGTGAGGTTGAGGCTGCTGCTGCTGGTGATGCTGATACTAGTGTTGATGGAAATGCTGGTGGTGGTGCTGCGTGGGTGGTCGGCGTTGTGAGTGTAGCGGCGTTGGATTGGTGCGGGGGCGAGCGTGGGCTTGCGCACCTGAAGCAGCTGGTGCTGCAAGCGCGGCAGAGGCTGACGCTCGTTGAAGCTCTTCATTCTGTCCTGCTCGTGCCACGGATAGCGCGTCAGTTCGTATGACACGGCGGAGGAGGAGGGGGCGGAGGAGGAGGGGGCGGAGGAGGAGGGGGCGGAGGAGGAGAGAGCGGAGGAGGAGGGAGCGGAGGAGGAAGACGAAGAGGAGAGGGAAGAGGACGAGAGAGAGGAGGAAGAGGAGGTGAAGGAAGAGGAAGAGGACGACGAGGAGGAGCGGGAAGCGGAGGAGGAAGAGGAAGAGGAGGAAGAGGAGGACGAGGAGGAAGGGGAGGAAGAGGAGGAAGAGGAGGAAGAGGAGGAAGAGGAGGAGAAAGAAGAGGAGGAGGAAGCGGACGACGACTGTGGCAGAGCGGAGGAGAGAGCAGAAGCAGTTGCATTGAACAAGTAGGACGCTGCTGGCGGGAAAGAGTCTGATGGAAAAAGCGGCGCAGCTTTCTGGGAACCGCTTTTGTTGCTGTTGCTGCCACTGCTGATGCACCTGCTACCCCCACTGCTACTGCTCCTGCTGGCGCTGCTGCCGCTGCTACTCGTACTCCATCTGCTGCTTCCCCCCACGCTCACGCCATCGTCTGTGCTAAAGCTGCACCGCTGAACACCCCCGGCCTCTCCCCCAGTCTCCCCCCCAGCCTCACCCACAATCCCCCCCCCATTCTCCCACCCGCCCGTGCTTGGCTCGTTCTCGTCTATCTCCGTCAGCGAGCCGTTTCGCGAGTGATTGTTGGAAGGTGTGATTGTAGCGAGCTTGCAGGTTAAAGGCAGGCTGCTGGCGAACGTCAGCGGAAGGCCGAGATCAGAGGACGGGTAGGCGAGACGCAGCGGTGGCAGCAGATCGATACCCGCAGTAGCTGCTGCAGCGGCGGCGGCGGCGGCGGCGGCGGGTGTTGCGTAGAGGCGAGAGGCGGGGAACCAGCGAGCCGCGGCACAGAGGCCGTCTGCTCGAGAGGTGCTGCGCTCCACGTGGCCAATTACCATTGCCTGTGCGAGACAGGGGAGGCGGCGATAGGCACAAGGAGATGGAGAGTATGGGAGAAGCAAGCAAGGAAATGATTTGGGGGAATATTGGGACCAGTTTCAGGGCTTTTTTTTGGCAGAAATCTTCACCTTCACTTGAAGGCAGAAATCATCGCCTTCACTCGAATTTGACACAATCTTCCCTCATACGACACATACTACCCATAACAGCGACGATCGGTAACGTTTACTTTCAAAACGACTGAATTCGATCCCATCACCTTCGAATCTGTACCCTAGATTCGTTCTCCTTCGCGACTCTCACCTTGCCCATCGCCATGGCTCGCTGCAGGAGGGGCTTTAATAGGTCCCTCCAGATCCGATCCTCCTTCTCCGAATCCTCATCGCCACGGCTTCTCTCGGTCAAGCTAGTACCGAAACCCCGCACGCGTGACGTTTCCGAAGGTTTCCGAACGCTCGAACTTATCACAACCGATACTAGAACAATAATGACGTCAGCATGATCGGCTTTAAGTTTGGACGCCGGGGTTGACGGGTGATTTGGTTGCTGACGGCGATGCTGCTGCCGCGCCTGAGACGCGGCACAGGCTAACGTCAGCACCTGCTGCAGAAACGACCAGGAAGCTTCTAAGGCGTCCTTGATTGCGAAATTGTCGGACACCCACGATCCCGGCACTTCCACGAGCCACATTGTCTTCAAATCGACGATGGTGCGGAAGGGAGGTTGATCTTTTGTTCTTCTTTTACACGGCCTCAGGCAACAGCCTCAGGCGTCAACGCGTAAATCAGTCGTCAAGTTATGGCTTCAAGTGGCAACTTGACGACCACAAGCCGGGAAAAACGCCAACCGCGCGATGGCTCCTAAAAACGAAAGGTGTAACGTATCGAGCTAATACGAAACAAGCGCATTGCGTGGCTTTAGGATAGGTTTGCTAAGGCTCTTAATCTTGGAGGAGTGAAGTAAAAGATGAGTAAGGATTGGTACATCAAACAAAAAATAACCAAACGAAAATTCGTGACGAGTGGTCCACAGACCCTGTCGGAAGATGGAGCTTTGCCCTATGCATAAAATACGGTAGTCACGCCTACCATTGCCTGACCAGCTCGCGTCCCTCAACTCCCTTCAACTACGATACGAATAACAATTTCGACAGTGACCTGCATCTGATGAGCTGAAATTATAAGAGAGAATCGGGAAGGGAGCGGAGCGGAGTCCTGTCTATTGAACCATGGTCCATGGCACTCTTGCACTGGACTAATCGTGCAGCGACGAATCGTGGATTAGTGGAGCACGCTTGGAAGTGAAGGCAACTGAACGTGTCGAGTCGAGTCAAGAAGCCCAAGCCAACCTCACCATATACCGAGACTTTTCTGTTAGCGGGCCAACGACAACGATCCACCACGAGCGATCTGCCGTCGCCATTCAGATTCAAGTGACCGCGGGCAAGAATAAGTAAACTCAGAGTAGGGTTTAGATTCACTAATTCCATCGACAGTATCCTGACCATCCATTTCTGAGGGTCTGACTAATTCCACAAAACGTTCTCTTCAGCAAGGCCAAACCAAGGCCAATATCAGTCTGCCGAAGCAAGCCAACAGGTAAGGACGAGGGGGTCAGTCGAGAAGAACCCCTTGGAATGGAACAAGCGGAATGGACGGCTGGCTGGATACGGAATGGACAGGCGGAAAATTGTTCCAGATTTCCGCTTGGTCTCCGCCGACTTGAAGTTACAGTAGAAGAGGCAGAATGTCCTTTACTAACAAACCTGGCACATGCAATCCCATCCCACCAAGATCGCTTGCGCGGGAGGGGGAGCTCAGAGCTCACAGGGGACTCGCCTTGCTTGCGCGGGCCCACCTCCCAGCAGTTCAGTAACAAACTCTTTCCTCTTTCACCATGCGTCATCCCTATGAGACCAACAAAACCATACAGGTGATGTACAGAAACGTTTTGTACCTTTTTGAAACACAAACACCATATTGAACAACCGACTATGTCCTTGCTCAACCAATCCCTCGGCTCTACTGGAAGTGAAGTTTGAGGCATGGGATGGGAGGGGACGAGACCAGCCAGGACCAGAGCCGAGCTCCGGCCAGGCTACGTTATGTACCGGACCAATCACCTCGCCATGCCACACCACCACTGCTAGGCTCGAGCGGGAAACCTTCCTCCTCCCACCTGCCGCAGCCCTCGCTGCACACAAGCTGTGCCCCAACCTGCTGTATCACCTGGCCTGACGAAAGGTTGGCCTTGGAAACACTAACGTTGGTGGGTTTAGATCACGGTTCTGAAGTCTGGACACCATCTGAAGTGTGGACACTTTGGTAGCAATGAACACGTCTGATTGGCTGTCATGCTCCAAGATTTCTCGCAACTTGTGTAATGACCAATGATCGGGTGTGTCTACACGTCACTGAGGGAAAATTTTGGTTGATGGTGTCCAAGCTTCGCCAGAACCGAGACCTTAGCCTAGATATGCTCCTTCACGTTCTCCGATCGCAGGTCTTCGGTTCCGCGAATATTGGAATTTGTACCCTCCGCGTGGATATCTGTGAATGGAAAGCTTCTCCTGGGACCTTGGAAGTTGAATGGTGCTTACGGGGGACAGTTCCAAATGGCGTTTCGAAGGTCGGTGGGTCAGAAGCAAACGAAGTCTCGTTTGCACATCTTGTGAAAATTTATAAGCCCGTGAGTGTACCGTAGTTAGCTAGTTATCAGGTGGACTACATTAGTTTCTATGCTTCAGTGAGCCTAACGCTGGAGAGACCAATTCACGGGGTGTACTGTCCGGTCATACTGAGGTTCAGCTGATATGCGATCCTAAACACCTCAAATTCAGGGCCATCATTGGCAGCATTGACGCTAACATATACTACACATAACGCAACGAGATCGCCAGCAGCACCACACTAGTTATTTGGGGTTGCGCCATGCACTCATTGCACCAGCCATCGAACCCTAACAACAATCCCGATGCAGCTGGTCTGCCATCACCACCATCAGCAGCATCAACCTGTATGCATCGACATGACACTAGCATTGCTCATACTCAACAAACCTCATGAGCTGCTTCTGAAGGAATTGAAACCCTCAAACCTCCAGCAACCTATACTTACCGTACACTCATTCCAGTAACCAAGCCCCAAATAACATCCCACACCCGTGCTTTTCCCGGAATTTGTAAAGCAGCCGTTGCCAGCAGCAAAAACAGCCTCAGCAGCAGCCCCGGCACTAGCAGCCACCGGTAGCAGCAGCACCGAGCCCCCGGCACTACCACAAACAGAAGCAGAGACAGAAGCACTTCCAACAGCAGCAGCAGCAGCAGCAGCAGCAGCAGCAGCAGCAGCAGCAGCAGCAGCAGCAGCAGCAGCAGCAGCAGCAGCAGCAGCAGCAGCAGCAGCAGCAGCAGCAGCAGCAGCAGCAGCAGCAGCAGCAGCAGCAGCAGCAGCAGCAGCAGCAGCAGCAGCAGCAAGCAGCAGCAGCAGCAGCAGCAGCAGCAGCAGCAGCAGCAGGCAGCAGCAGCAGCAGCAGCAGCAGCAGCAGCAGCAGCAGCAGCAGCAGCAGCAGCAGCAGCAGCAGCAGCAGCAGCAGCAGCAGCAGCAGCAGCAGCAGCAGCAGCAGCAGCAGCAGCAGCAGCAGCAGCAGCAGCAGCAGCAGCAGCAGCAGCAGCAGCAGCATCGGCACCTGGTCCCTGCAGCAGTTCCGGCTGCAAGCACTGATAGAACAGGAAATCTGATACCCATAATCCGAGTTACTCGAATACGGTAATCCTGTGAAGTCCCAAAGTACGTCTGCACGAGCGACTCATCTATCTGCTCCACGTTCTCATCATCAAGGTCAGCTCTCATCCGTAGTACAAACTGCCTCAGCAGCGGCTGCAGCAGCAATGGTGCTGCCACCAGTAGCAGCAGCACTGGCACCCCCACAACTACCAGGAACAGAAGAAGATGCAGGAGCACTAGCAGCAGCAGCGCCAGCCCCAGGCCCCTGCAGCAGCTCAGGCTGCAGACACTGATAAAACAAAAAGTACCCATGGTCCGTGTTACTCGAGTAGTCCTGCGACGACCCAAAGTACGTCTGAACCAGCGACTCATCTATCTGCTCCACGTTCTCATCGTCGAAAAACAACCAGTGGCTGTGGCTCTTCACGAGAGCCACATAATGCCCGTGATTCGGCCCGCTCCCCACGTGGACTATCACTGCGAAGAGGGAATACTCGGCCTCGGCGCCGGGCGCGTCGTCTACGGTGTTGCACAGGCGCAGGTGGAGCGGGAAGACGACGCGGTAGGAGAGCTTCTTGTAGCGCCCCAGCTGCTCCATAAACTTGAAGCGCTTCAAGTGCAGGGCGAGAACCCTTGGGGGTACCTTGATGCGCATTCTCTTCTGCGCCTCCTGCAGGCTGGATGAGCGGTGGGAGGGAGGGGAGGGGTTGAGAGGGGGGGGGGGGAGGAGAGGGGGGTGAGGAAGGGCTTCTTGTAGCGCCCCAGCTGCTCCATGAACTTGAAGCGCTTCAGATGCAGGGCCAGCACTCTTGGGGGTGCCTTGATGCGCTTCAGATGCAGGGCCAGCACTCTTGGGGGTGCCTTGATGCGCTTCAGATGCAGGGCCAGCACTCTTGGGGGTGCCTTGATGCGCTTCAGATGCAGGGCCAGCACTCTTGGGGGTGCCTTGATGCGCTTCAGATGCAGGGCCAGCACTCTTGGGGGTGCCATGATGCGCTTCAGATGCAGGGCCAGCACTCTTGGGGGTGCCTTGATGCGCTTCAGATGCAGGGCCAGCACTCTTGGGGGTGCCTTGATGCGCTTCAGATGCAGGGCCAGCACTCTTGGGGGTGCCTTGATGCGCTTCAGATGCAGGGCCAGCACTCTTGGGGGTGCCTTGATGCGCTTCAGATGCAGGGCCAGCACTCTTGGGGGTGCCTTGATGCGCTTCAGATGCAGGGCCAGCACTCTTGGGGGTGCCTTGATGCGCTTCAGATGCAGGGCCAGCACTCTTGGGGGTGCCTTGATGCGCTTCAGATGCAGGGCCAGCACTCTTGGGGGTGCCTTGATGCGCTTCAGATGCAGGGCCAGCACTCTTGGGGGTGCCTTGATGCGCTTCAGATGCAGGGCCAGCACTCTTGGGGGTGCCTTGATGCGCTTCAGATGCAGGGCCAGCAGTCTTGGGGGTGCCTTGATGCGCTTCAGATGCAGGGCCAGCAGTCTTGGGGGTGCCTTGATGCGCTTCAGATGCAGGGCCAGCACTCTTGGGGGTGCCTTGATGCGCTTCAGATGCAGGGCCAGCACTCTTGGGGGTGCCTTGATGCGCTTCAGATGCAGGGCCAGCACTCTTGGGGGTGCCTTGATGCGCTTCAGATGCAGGGCCAGCACTCTTGGGGGTGCCTTGATGCGCTTCAGATGCAGAGCCAGCACTCTTGGGGGTGCCTTGATGCGCTTCAGATGCAGGGCCAGCACTCTTGGGGGTGCCTTGATGCGCTTCAGATGCAGGGCCAGCACTCTTGGGGGTGCCTTGATGCGCTTCAGATGCAGGGCCAGCACTCTTGGGGGTGCCTTGATGCGCTTCAGATGCAGGGCCAGCACTCTTGGGGGTGCCTTGATGCGCTTCAGATGCAGGGCCACCACTCTTGGGGGTGCCTTGATGCGCATCCGCTTCTGCGCTTCCCGCAGGCTGGGGGTTGGGAGGGAAGGGGGGAAGAGGGGTGAGGAGGAGGGGAAGGAGGGGAGGAGGGAAGGAGGAGGGAAGGAGGAGGGGAGGACGGAGGGGAGGACGGAGGGCCGAGCGTGGAGAGCTAAGGGCAGGTGAGGGGGCAAGAAGGGAGAGGGAGAAGCGGAGGTGGAGGGGGAAGACGACCAGGTAGGAGAGCTTCTTGTACCGCCCCAGCTGCTCCACATGCACCTGGAGCACGTTTCACAGAAGGACCTATCGTTGCCATTCAAAGTCTCAGTGGGGGAGAAGTTGTGCAGGCAGCTGGAGACATGACACTCCCACCTGCTGACGTATTACTGAGTCGACTAAAAAATACTCTCCCACCTGCTGACGTATTACAACCTCCTGTCCACTCGTGGACAGCCTTACAAGGCTTCCTCATCCCATGCTCTGCTCACCTGCAGCACGTGTCGCAAAAGAACTTGTTGCTGCCGTTGAGAGTCTCTGTGGAGGGGAAGTTGCGCAGGCAGCTGGTGACACTGCCACATGCTGGCATCACAGCATGTCCCACCAATTCCACATGCTGACGGCCCTGCAAGCTAGCTGGGCTCCCCACCCCATCCTCACCTGCAGCAGGTATCACAAGACAACTTGTCGTTGCCATTGAGAGTCTCCGTGGAGAAGTTGCGCAGACAGCTGGTGACACTGTGACCCTCCCACCTGCACCTGTTGACCTAATACTAATTCAGATAGCACGCTCACTCGGTGAAAGCACTACAAGGCTCCCTGTCCCACACCCACCTGCAGCACGTGTCACAGAAGAACATGTCGTTGCCGTTGAGCGTCTCTGTGGAGGAGAAGTTGCGCAGGCAGCTGGTGACACCCCCTCCCACCTGCTGACACCCCCTCCCACCTGCTGACACCCCCTCCCACCTGCTGACATAACAATAGCATGTGTGCTTGCCGATATACCTTTATCCCTGGAGGGCAGCGTGTGGCGATCTGTACGTGCTCCCGGACTGGACGTCACCTTGCTACTACAACAAGCCTCGTACCAGGTGCCCACCTGCAGCAGGTATCACAGAAGAACTTGTCGTTGCCGTTGAGCGTCTCTGTGGAGGAGAAGTTGCGCAGACAGCTGGTGACGCTGCTGTTCTGCTCGATGTCCAATGAGAGGTCCAGAAAAGCCTCGTCCCGAGCCGTGACTGTCTCACAGCACAGACAACGTGTTTCGTTTGTTAGAGTACCCTGGAATGGGAAGAGGAGGGGTGGGTGGGAGGTGGATGGGGAGGGAGGAGTGCGGGGGTGAGGATGTTGCGCGGGTAGCTGGTAGCGCTGCTGTTCTGCTCGATGTCCAATGAGAGATCCAGTAAGGCCTCGTCTCTAGCAGTCACTGTCTCACAGCACAGGCAGCGCGTCTCGTTTGTGAGTGTGCCTTGGAGTTAAGGGGATCGGACGGTGAAAGCGAGGACACGGACACACATTGTGTGACGTTGTGACGATACAACTGATTTGTCTAGGTTGCTAACTTTAGCCCAAGTAGCACCCACCCCAGCAGCACCCACCTGGAATATCTCATGCACCCATGTCACCACCGTCGGTTTCGCCCCACTGCCACCCCCACCAGCAGCAGCGGTCCCAGCAGCTGCTGTCCCCCCTGCCCCAGCTGCTGCTGCTACTGCTGCTGCAACAGCTGCAGATGCAGCCGCAGCTGCAGCAGCAGCAGAACCCAGACCGGCGGACGCCCCATCCGCTGCTGCTGCTGCTGCACTCGCCCCTCCCCCATCGCCCTCCCTCCCCTCCCCAGCTCCCTCACTCCCCCTCGCCCCCCCCTCCGACCTAACAGCAGCGACAGCAGCACCACCAGAAGCAACTGGAGCAGCAGCAGGGACAGCAGCAGCAGCAGCAGCAGCAGCAGCAGCAGCAGGGGGGTTGGGGTGGATAAGTCTCCCCGCCTCTGCCCTGCCTGCCCGTGCCTCCTTCTCCAGAATGTCCACGAGCTCGTTGAGAAGGAAGTTGAGGAACTCGTGGGCGTCCTGATGGGGATGGGGGAATGGCCGGGAGGAAGAACTGGCGGGTGTGAACCAGCTGGCCAACTAGCTTCCGCTCCCCCTGCCCGCGCCTCCTTCTCTAGAATATCAACAAGCGCGTTAAGAAGGAAGTTGTGAGACTCGTGGGCGTCCTGACGGGGGTTGGGGTAGGGGTGGCGCGGAAGGAGGGAGGGGAGGCACAGACAGGGCAGGGGTGGCAAAGAGGGTGAGTGGAGTGTATGCGTGCATCTGCTGCCCTCTTCCCAAGAACGCCCACCAGCTCGTTGAGAAGGAAACTCAAAAACTCGCGTGTGTCCTGCCTGGCACAGGAGGACAGGTCAGGCCCCAGGGATGGTGCATGGGTGGGTGGAGTGTACGACACCCCACCCTCCTTCTCTAGACCGCCCACCAGATCGTTGAGCAGGAAGGTGAGCAGCTCGCGTGCGTCCTGAGAGGGGTGCGCGGGGGATATTAACAGGGGACTGGGGGCTGGGTTGAAAACCATCACCTGAGATCGCACCTTCGCACCTGAGGCTCGCCCAGCCTCTGCCCTGCCTTCCCATGCCGATTTTTGAGTCGACTAAAAAATCGACCTACCTTCCCATGCCTCCTTTTCAGGAACGTGTAAGGGGTCAGATGGCAAGGGGAGGACAGGGGAAGGGGAGGACGAGGCAACGGCGGAGGATTCCAAGGAAGAGGAAATCTTTACGGAATGGAATGGTGCTCGCCCAGCCTCTGCCCTGCCCTGCCTTCCCACGCCTCCTTTTCAGGAACGTGTACCAGCTCGGTGAGAAGCGAGTTGAGTAACTCAACTCGTGCAATCTGGGTGAACGTAGTTCCACGTGATGCCCTGGAGGTATTTTCACCTGAATTTTCACCTGAATATTCACCCAGTGCATGCATTTTAACATGACGCCAGGAATTCACCTGGTGCATGCATTTTCACATGACGCCTGGATTTCACCTGCTGCGTGCATTTTCACATGACGCCTGGATTTCACCTGCTGCGTGCATTTTCACATGACGCCTGGATTTCACCTGCTGCGTGCATTTTCACATGACGCCTGGAATTCACCTGCTGCGTGCATTTTCACATGACGCCTGGAATTCACCTGGTGCGTGCATTTTCACATGACGCCTGGATTTCACCTGCTGCGTGCATTTTCACATGACGCCTGGATTTCACCTGCTGCGTGCATTTTCACATGACGCCTGGAATTCACCTGCTGCGTGCATTTTCACATGACGCCTGGAATTCACCTGGTGCATGTAGCTACGGAACAGCTCCTGCTTCACTCGCTGCACAAAGCGGTTTTTCAACTCTTCAAAAACTGGCGCATGTATATTCGTTCACCTCATGCTTGAATTCTCACCTGGTGCATGTAGCTGCGGAAGAGCTCCTTCTGCTTCTTCACTCGCTGCACAAAGCGGCGAGGTGCTATGACCCCTGTCTTGCGCTTCTGCGAGTTGATCTGCCGTGGGGTGGGGACGGGGGGGGGAGGAAGTGTTGGACGGCAATCAGGAAAGGAAGCGACGTCGTGGGTTGTCTATAACGCAGCAGCCTGTGAGGCGCAAGAATGACCCCTGTCTTGCGCAAGAATGACCCCTGTCTTGCGCAAGAATGACCCCTGTCTTGCGCAAGAATGACCCCTGTCTTGCGCAAGAATGACCCCTGTCTTGCGCAAGAATGACCCCTGTCTTGCGCAAGAATGACCCCTGTCTTGCGCAAGAATGACCCCTGTCTTGCGCAAGAATGACCCCTGTCTTGCGCAAGAATGACCCCTGTCTTGCGCAAGAATGACCCCTGTCTTGCGCAAGAATGACCCCTGTCTTGCGCAAGAATGACCCCTGTCTTGCGCAAGAATGACCCCTGTCTTGCGCAAGAATGACCCCTGTCTTGCGCAAGAATGACCCCTGTCTTGCGCAAGAATGACCCCTGTCTTGCGCAAGAATGACCCCTGTCTTGCGCAAGAATGACCCCTGTCTTGCGCAAGAATGACCCCTGTCTTGCGCAAGAATGACCCCTGTCTTGCGCAAGAATGACCCCTGTCTTGCGCAAGAATGACCCCTGTCTTGCGCAAGAATGACCCCTGTCTTGCGCAAGAATGACCCCTGTCTTGCGCAAGAATGACCCCTGTCTTGCGCAAGAATGACCCCTGTCTTGCGCAAGAATGACCCCTGTCTTGCGCAAGAATGACCCCTGTCTTGCGCAAGAATGACCCCTGTCTTGCGCAAGAATGACCCCTGTCTTGCGCTTCTGGGAGTTGATCTGCCGTGGAGGGAGGCAAGCATGCAGTGAGAAGGGGGGGAAGGGGGGAAAAGGCGGAAGACTCGAGGGACATGTAAGGGGCATGCAGGCTGAAAAACACGCACCCGGGTTTAGGGTTATGAAGCAAATCCACGTGTGGGTGGGGCGACTTTTGAGTTGACTCAAAAGCAAATCCACGTGTGGGTGGGGCGTACCTGGTTGAAAAGCTCTACGAGGTAGAGGAGTGTCTCCTCGGACTCGTTGACAGGACTGAGATGCGCGGAGGACTGAGGCGCGCTGAGACGGAGGTGCGTGCATCTGGCGAAAAGGGTTGCTTGGCGTACCTGGTTGAAGTGCTCTGCAATGCAAGGCAGGTGAGGAAGGTCCCCTGTGACTCGTTGGCCGGCTTGTGCTTGGCGTGGTAGCCTTAGGGATCAAATCGTACCTGGTGAAGTGACTTTTGAGCCGACTCAAAAGTCGGCTTGTGCTTGGCGCGTGGTAGCCTAAGGGATCAAAGCGTGCCTGGCGAAGTGAGTGAACTGAGGCGCAACCTGAGGAACATGCAAGGCGCATGACGCACAGCACGCACAGCACACCTCGTGTAGAAAGTATATTTTTCAGACGTCTCAAAACTCTACTTTCTACACATGCACAGCACGCACAGCACACGTGGTGGCGCGCTGGTGCATTGGGTTGGGAGGGAGTGAGACTCACCTGGTTGAAGAGCTCTGCAAGGCACGTGAGGAGCGTCTCCTCGGATTCGTTTGCCGGCTTGTGCTTGGCGTAGTAGTCCAGTAGGTGCTCGCGGAACGGTACACAGAAGTAGAGCGCCTGGAGTGGGGCGCATGGTGCGGTGCAGAGTGATGTAGTGCGGTGCGGTGTGGCATGGCGTGGTAGCAATTACGACCATGCAAGAAAGGGAGAAATGGAGCAAGTGAGAAGGTATTTTAGGACTCTAATGCAACGGACCAAAAACCAGAAGAAGCTGTGAATATAATCCAGGGAACTGCCGAATCTCCAACGTGACCCACCTGTAGCATGCTGTGGTAACACGTGTTGCCAAAGGCGACCAAAGGCTATTGATTGGAATCCCGAATGACTCACCAACAACACGCTATGCTTAGATCGTGTTTTTGTAGATTCTCAAAAGCAAATCACCTGCGGCACCTATTCCAGACGTTGTCAAAGGTTATTGGTCGCACCAAGAAGCACCTAAATCCGCTCAAGTCCCCGGATCTCAGAGTGTTGACCCACCTGCAGCACGCTGTTGCAGTAGCACGTGTTGCCGAAATTCTCAAGCCCAAAGTACCTCTCCCCCTCCGGGAACGCATCTCCCAAAGCGCGCTCCAACTTGGACCCCGACCCCCCAATGATGGTGCTGAACACCTGCGAGTGGGGAGCAATGAGGGGGGTTCACACAGATGGCTTGAACGCGTCAAAGCGGGGAGAAGAAGGGGGATTTCGCATGGCAAGGGGAGGTCGAACACTTGCTTTCCACATACGAAAGGCTTCGCATCTCCCAGCGCGCGCTCTAGCTTCGACCCCGACCCCCCCATGATGGTGTTGAACACCTGCCACGAGCGTGGAGCAATGAAAGGCGGTCAATATGGCAGGGGTTCACGCCTGGGCTCGACCCCAAAGAACCGCTCCCTTTCGGGAAACGCATCCCCCAGCGCGCGCTCTAGCTTGGACCCCGACCCTCCAATGATGGTGTTGAACACCTGTGCGTGGGGAGGGAAGGGGTTCACAAACACATGGCACATGGCAACGGGGTTCATGCATATGCTCGCGGCTCGCTCGCTCTAGCTTGGGCCCCGACCCCCCGATGATGGTGTTGAACACCTGTGCGTGGGGAGCAGAAAGGGGGTCCGTGCAGGAACCAACGAGGGGAGTGACACACAGCAAGGGGGTTCATGCATGCGCGTGCCCTAGCTTGGACCCGGACCCCCCGATGACGGTGTCGAACACCCGCGAGGGTGGAACGATCGAGGGGGTTCGATACAGGTGGAACGCCTTTGAAGGCACTTCAAGAACTTTCTCTTGTCTTGCGATTTTGAGCTCTCCCCCAAGAACTTTCTCTTGTCTCGCGGTTGAGCTGGCTCTCCTCCAAGATCTTGCGCACTTGTGAGATGCTCACACTCACCCTGGCTAGCATGATGCGCGCTGTGCGGCGAACCAGGACGCGCAGGTAGACGAATAGGTACACCAGGCCTGAAAAGGCCGGAAACAGACCCTCGATCCGCTCCGTCGCACCCGCCGCGCTCGCCGCCAAAAGGCGCCGAAGGCTTGCAAGGGAGAGGTATGGGCGGCGGCTTGAGGAATCCGGAATAATGGCGTCAATTTCGTCCGCCGCAACTGGCGCCAAACCGGGCTTCGTCGTATGAGAAGGACGGGCTATTGCCACGGGTGAGAGGAAAAATAAAAACAAAGTGGACTCGCTTCGTGAGTTCCAAACCCGGTCTCTTGCAGAAAGAACGAGTAAACCCTATCGCGTGTCTCCGCCGAGATTCCTCCAAGATTCCTGGAGCCTGGTCGGGTATGGGAGGTGACAAAGCTGCCAGCGTGTTGTGACACGTGGAATATGCGGCTGTCAAGGTAGAATGTAATTGTGACCCCAGAGCAAGCGTGCTGCAGGTAGTAGAGTCGTGCAGAATCTATGCAGGTAACAGGTAGAATCTCTGTCCCTCTGCGTGTTCACAGAAATTCCTTGTGATAAAAGAATCCCCTGCCAGAGTTTCTAGCGTCTCAGTCGGTCAACGGTTAGAAATCGCTGGGATGCCTTCCTCTTTACGAGCTCTTACGCGCGCGAACCGCACAGGCACGAGACGTCTACTTTCTACTACGCGACGGCAGTCTGAATTCGCAGCAGCACCCGACAAGCCAGACGGCTGATATCAGGCCGAACCAAGCTTTGATTCGACTCAAAACATAAGGCCGAACCAGCGACGACTCCTTAACAATTGTTGAGACGTCTGAGAAGTATTTTACAACGACAGATGGAATCTGTGGTGCACTCCAAACGACATAAATCTGAGGAAAGCGTGAGTCATTGAACTCATGAACTCGCTAATATTCAGAAAAGAAGAATATTATGTCCGACAAACGTGTCGCAGAACTCTCGGTGCGCACTGGTTCGAGTCCAGGCGTTTCCTAACTTGCAGATTATCTATAGAGAAAGCGCATCGCTGTGTTGCGATCGGACTTTCATGTCATTCCTACGCCAGTAGATTCCGAAATTCCTAGATTCCGTCGGGCTGGTGGTGCTGGTGGAAAACGAGAGGGAATCGTCGAATACGGTATGCGGACATACCTCGATAATATCAACAGATACTACTACACGCGCAACAAGGAAACCATATGCACTAACATTTCAAGATGTTGATACCTTTTTCCAAATGCAAAATCAGGGAACGGTACTAATGTGTAAGAGAGCATGGTAATCACGCAATTTATGTGTCAAAGAGTTGGGTCTAGGATCTGATCAGGATGAGGGCAGATGCCTAAGATGTGGTAAAGATTTATTAGAATTTGTACAGTGATCACCTAGTCTGGTTTGCCTAATATATACACATATTTTCCCATTGCCTGTACTGTCTGCTACCAATTAGGCATCAATCAAAGAAGGTTCTAACTTGCACCATCTTGTTAAAGCGCACGTGCCGTTTGTTCTTAGGCGACTGAGAAGAAGACGACCTGCCCGCAGGGATGGCAATCGCCTGACTTGGTGTTCCCCGAGCCAAGCTCTTGTCATGTCCCATGCTGCTTATTGTCATGCCACTGCTGCTTGTAGCCTGCACTACAATTGTGCCCTTAAGATCCCCACTTGTGCATGCAGCAGCAGCTGCTCCTCCTCCTACTGCTGCCTTAGCAGGAGAACTTGAGCCAGTAGCATTGCAGCTTGACTGCATAAAAGAATCTGGGATAGAATAACGCCCTGATGCCAGCAGGCCAGCGACGGGTCTTGATCGCGACGATCTAGAGGTAGGCTTTGATGGTGAGAGTAGAGAGATGGGCTTTGAGGATGAGAGCAGGGACAGGGGTGGGGGGGACAAGGGAGGAGAGAGGGGAGGAGGAGAAAAGGGAGGACGGGACAAGGGTGGAGGAGACAGGGGTTTTGACGGCGATGAGGAGGCAGAGGAGGCGGAGCATGAGGAGAGGCCACTGCGGGGCGACTTCAGAGAGCGTGCAGCTGCATCATGGAAAGACTGGTTTCCGGAGACGGGTTTAGACGGCGACCAGGAGACAGAGGACGCGGGGGAGGCAGGGGAGGAACCGCTGTAAGGCGACTTCAGAGAGCTTGTAGCTGCCTTGCAGGGAGACTGCTTTCCAGCTGAGCGTGCTCTTCGTAACCCATGCGGTGACTGTACAGCAGTGTAGGCTCGTGGGAAGGGCATGGAGCACAAGGGAGCCATTGCACTGGCCTGGCCCATTGAAGTGTTCTGCCCCGCTAATTCAGAATGCTCCATCACTGCTTCCACTGACCGCGTGCGGCGGTGCCGGGCCAGGCGGCGTCGCGCCATGCTTTCAGCGCCATGGCTCTGACTTCGCGGCCAGATGGCTTCAGAAGGAAGCGATGACGAGGTGGCAGCAGCAGCCGCGGGGGCTACAGAATATTGCGCTGCAACGGCGGGCATGGCGTTAAGAGACGATGATACAGCAGCAGCCTGACGCGCAGCCGCAGCTGTAGAAGCGGCCGTAACCGCAACTGTAGACGGGCGCGCCACGCGTGGAAGATAACTGATATCCCCGTTACAGTCTGAGGGATAAGCGCCATGCACTGACTCCGGTGTGACACAAACTCCGCACTGCCCTGGCACTCCTTGAAAGTCGCTGAACGAGTGCCAGCGGCGGTGGCGGAACCCGAGCGCCGCGCTGGAGCCTTCGCGCGGGCTGCGCGGGGGCGTGGGGCGGAGATAAGGTCCCGCGCCAGCGACGGCTTGCGCGCCAGACGCGGCGGCTGAAGAAACATCCACGCGCGGGGGAGATGTCAGCGCGCCTGGATCGCTGAAGAAACGAGCCATCGCGACCGTTGACGCTTGTCGTAGCGACGGATCGAGGCCGTCAATCTGGACTGCAGGCGGGGGAAACGAGCCGTAGGCGTTGTAGCGACGAGCTGTTGACGGCGCGACCGCAAGCATAGCTGCTCAGATCGTCGGACGTAGTGGTAGTATTAGTGGCAGTGGAGACAATTAGTCTAGACGGCGACGGTTAGGAAAACGGTGGTATGGAATCGCGCCGGCGAGGAGAGTTCTCAGGGTGAGTAGTAAGCAGAGAGTTGTAGGAGCTTGCTAACAAAGAATGCACAATTAGCTGATTCTGTGAGTCTCTTGTACTACATCGTTCCGTCCATTCGGGGTCAACTCGGTGCTGGGAAAAAATGCTGCGAAAGACCAAGATGGCCAAATGCCGGAACGCCCGAACGCCCGAACGCCCGGAACGTCGGCTGCCGGAAAGGCGGGAAAAATATCCCTCACTCTCCTCGCCGCCCGGAAACCGGAACGTCGGCTGCCCGTAAGGCGGCGGGAAAGCATCCCCTCACTCGCTTCGGGATTCCCCCTCGCACTAAAACAGCGAAGAGGAGTCAGTCTCGCTGGCGAAATTTTCATACTTGAGATACGATGACCTGGGATTTGATCCATTGCGATCGCCATAACGGAAAACGCGCGGCAGAAGCAGGATCTATGGCGCAACAGTACAAAAAGGCAAGATTACCCTCACGCCTTTCAGATACTCTCAGCCTGAGCAGAAAATATCAATCATAGCGTCACTTGGGAAAAGTTGTTTTATGACCCGATAACAGAAGCTACTAGAAGCGCAAAAGCTGCCGATGTGGGAAAAATCATTACGGGCGAGAGTTGCTTACACTAGTGTATCCATCTCGAAATGCTGCCATTGCATTCAAGGATGCTTAGCCTAGATGCTAGACCAAGTGGGAACTCTAGGACAGACTGAAACCAGGCTAGGCAGCAAAAAGGCGAAGCGCAGTAGGCTCCGTGATTCTTCACCAAAAGCTACCTGACTGAAACGGCGGAATCGCCAGGTGTATGTACAGCATACCGCATCTGTGCACGGCGCTTCACGGTCACCTCACCACAGTCACAGAAAACCTAGCTGGCTTCGATTGAAGGACGGATGGGGCTTGACAACTGCCTGCTCACAACAAGCTTGCTGTGCTGGGCTGTTAGAACTGGCAGCATTGTAGGTGCTGGAAGACCCTTAGGGCGTGTCACATCGCCAACCATTTGTGAGAATGGCTTTTGGCCGAATATCCGTCATATATGGTCGTCATTTCTTTCGCGAAAGTCGAAAGATTGGTCGATAGAGTGTCGACCGATAAACGACCAGGATTTGCAGTTTTGCAGATGTGACAGCTTTGATGACCGATTTGCAGGCCGTTGTATCAAAGCTGTCACATTTGCACGTGCTACAGTAGCCGGAGATGTGCGACGGGGTCGCAAATTTGACGGCGATTGTTTCTATAGGTTGTACGATGACGTGCGACGTCGCAGATGTCTGTCGCTCACCGTGTCGACTAGTTGGCCAGATTGGAGTCGACACGGTGTACGGTTTAGTTTCGGCCCGTTCAAAGGCCATCAAATTCACAAGTTTGTTTCGAAAATAACGACGCTCGCCAGGATTTTGGAGAACATCATTATGTGGTTACCTTTTCTAACAACCGCCCGACGGATTTTCCGAAAATTGTTCGTCGGGCGATGTGACACACCCTTAGGGCGGGTCACCCCTTGGAGCGACAGTGAGGTGTTATGGCGAGATGTGTCATACTGGAGGATTTTTTAGTGGTTACGAGAGGTGGAAGTAAGTACTTTGGGGTTAGGGTGGCAAGTATCATCGTCTTGCGTGTTGCTTGGTGGTGGTGTGTCGGTGTATTGTTCCGTTTTGTAAGGAAAATCCCTTTTCCTTACTTCGCATCCCTGCTCAACGCGTACATCACTGTAGCACCTCAGTCACCACCGTTACCACTCGCGATCCTTGCATCGACAATCATCCCGCCATCTTCGCACATCGCACCCCGACCTCACGGCCCGGCTGGTAACCCGCGCTCCGGGCCTTCGCTTCGACACTTTCCCAACCTCAGTCCCAGGCTCGTCACACGACAACCACAGTCCATTACCGTTACCATTGTAGTTTCGCTATATATTATTCGCTCATGCCTTCGCTCATTGTATTCTTGCTTCGATAGTGCAATTCTCGTTCGTTCACTCAATTGCACTCGTAACACTTGGTATTCAGAGCCTACGACTTCACCTCGGACCGCATCCACACTTTCGCTTCCCCACTATCTCAATTTTTGGGGGGGGGTAGACGTCTCTCAGCGATACAGCACCGCCGCTCGTAGTGCTCTCTCGTAAGCACGCACGGCCACGACCGAGGCTCTCGCTGAGCTTGCCCGACACCCCCGCCATGGCCGATTTCACGCTCGCCACATTGACGCAGGAGCAGCTTGATCGTCTCGTGCGTCAACTATAAGATTCGGCGCTCGAAATCGCGACACTCACGGCGGAACGTGACTCCGCCCGTCAACAATCCACGGTGAACATTCCGGCGACACCACACGCACCGACAAATGCATCTACACAATCAGACGAGCTGATCATCATCTCGTCCGGTACACCAACACAACACGACAGCATGGGACAACGCTCAGGCGCAGCCAGTAATGGCGCCGCCCAGCCGATGCCTGGCATGGGAGGAGGCAGGATCGCACCAAGCCCGCGGGAGCCCCGGGAAGCCCGTCGGCACGTGGAATTTGTGGCAACAAGTGGCGAACAGGCCATTATGGCACCAATGCCGCTCAAGCCGCAACGCCCGCCCTGCTTCGACCCAAGCCAACGCGGAGGTCCGACGGTTCAATCGTGGGTCTTCACGATGAACGTCTTCTTCGACGCAAACTACGTCGAGTCGGACGCCGCGAAGATCCGGTATGCAGTTTCGCTGCTAAGGGGCCCCGCCATGAACTGGTGGCGAGTCATCGTGACATCGCCACGCGCCTACGAGCCACCGTCACACGAGGAAGGGCCCACGGGTCCAGCTGTCACCTGGAGTTCGTTCTGCGAGACCGCCCAATACAGCACGTGGGATGCATGGTGCGCAGGGCTACGGGCGCGTTTCGAGCCGATCGCGGCTTCGATTTCGGCGCGTCAGAGATTGCGCACTTGGCGCCAGCTCGGGTCGGTTCAAGATTATACAAGCGGTTTTCTCGCACTTTGCGAACAGGTCGGCTACATGCACGAAGCGGAGCGGGTGGACTGTTACATCGGAGGGCTGAAGCCGGATATCTTGCACGAAATCATGCTGCGCGGACTCTCCAACTTCAACGAGATTCTCGCGCTCGACGAGAAAATCGACATTCTACGCCGACCGAGACCGGGGTCCTACTACGGATATCGCCCTCGGGGACCGACCGAGCACGCCACTGTACACGCCGTCGCAACTGTCAGAATCCCAACCACTAGACCATTGGGATAAAAGGGCTTGTTTCAGTAGCGGGTCAGTGCGCCCATAACCCCCCAGGCGAACGCGCCTGTAACCCTCCCTAGGATCGATCGGGGATCTCACAGTGTAGCTCTAATGACACCCCCCCACACTGGGAGGTCCAGGACTAAGCACAGTGGCAACGGCCAACATGTGCATACACCGGGATTCGAACCCGAGACCGCTCTGATACCATGGCAGAATCCCAACCACTAGACCATTGGGATAAAAGGGCTTGTTTCAGTAGCGGGTCAGTGCGCCCATAACCCCCCAGGCGAACGCGCCTGTAACCCTCCCTAGGATCGGTCGGGGATCTCACAGTGTAGCTCTAGTGACAGCAACGAATGCAGCTGCCGCACCGTTCAAGGGGCGCTGCTTTGCTTGCAACAGGCCGGGCCATCGCAAGAGCGAATGC